GTGTTTAAAAATTGCTAGTTCAAATTGAAACTTATTTACACCAACGACACAACAGGCAAGAAAAATGTACCAAATCTAGCTTCTTTTTACGGCCCTCGTCCACAGGCCCTTCGCTTGTTTTGTCTCACTTTGTGCAGCGGCCATATTTCACCCAACTTTCCAAGCTCGCGATTTCCAAGGCTGACATTCGTTATTTCACCGTGACAAGGACTTGACCTTGTTCCAGAACTGGGTTATTATGTTATTGGTTTATACCTGATTAGCCAAAAGAGTAGAGCATTTATGGTTGTTTTATTACATTTTCGGAGCTTATTCTCTTTTATGTAACGAGTAGGTATTCGCACTACTCGTAATATCATATTTATTTTATGAATCACCAGCAATCTTTATTGTATTTGAAGAATAGTTTCTAAGCATCTCTCTCTACCATTTAGGTGTACCTATGTAATTTAGGCAGGTATTTTACTAAACTTTTGTTCAATTTAGTATCTACCGCAGCCATGTTTGGTGCATCTAATGATGGGCGAACGTTTGCCAAAGAGCCAGATATGTATTTTTGATAATTACCATGATACACCCGCTGCCAAGTAGGCAATCGGGACATGACGCAAATACGTCGCACTAGAAATAGGGCGGGTTATGTCGACCTTATTTAGGGAAATAACTTTGCAGTTATTCATTGACTACAGTTACGTTTTAATTACAGATGAACTCTAGCCATTGCCCAAACTTTAAATGACATTATTATAGTATACGCACGATTTTGTATGGCTACAAGCAAGTAGGAACTGCTCAAATATACGTAGATATTAAATTATCGACTCTACTGCACATTTACTTGTTGGAAGTTATTGTATTTCACGTACCTCACTATGAAATAAGCGGCCGTAGGTTCGAATCCCGCAAAAGATAATGTAAACCGTCTATTTATAATGCTGGTAGTAGTGTTGATTACTAGTGTTTTAATAACATAAGTTAACCTATTCTTTTACAGTTCTGCAAGAACTTCAGGGTCGGCGAGCGATGCTGCGAGTTCGAGTGCCTGGACCCTCCCGGGGAGGACACGCGGTACCGGGAGCGGCAGCGTCTCCGAGCCCTCATCCTGGCTGGAAACTCCTCAGCCCCCCACACAGGACCCTCCGTCAAGCTCAAAGCTGGCATCTCGCTCCTCGCTGTAGCAGTTGCTAGATTCGTATGAAATCCGACCACAGATTAGGTTTAACTAATTGGAAATGATTGAGCTAACTCCATTCGACGTTTGGTTCTCAGGCTACACTTTAAACCAAAGCTGATGTTAGTCTGTTAGCGTCGATTACCTTTTACAGATTGGGTAGCACGATCCAATGAACAGTTGTGACAAATATATTTCATTTAAATAGGAAATCTCCTTTTCTGCATCCAAATACATAATTACCTCTATAGGTACATAACTTACTCAATTTAGTAAATAACAATTCAGTGCCATAATTTGTCTGTGAAGATGCTACGTATAGTCATACAAGTCGCCTAAGCAAAATACATGTTTGGACCAATTTTATGTAACAAGTAGCAATCGTTTGATTTGATGGATTAATTTTGTCTTTGTGTGTTTAGAGTCCAACTTCGTTCGTGTCGTAGTGTAGTCTATGTGCTGCTGTTCTCATCACGGTTATTGTAAAAATTGAGTTTACCGACAATAAAAATGTCTTGATCCACAAATGCAGTCCTAAAATATCTCAAAGACATTCTTACCTACATTTTTCAGTCTCTCTACATAAATTCCCTAGAACACTATCCCGTTATAAGATGTCGAAATTTAGTTTGAGCTAAACTGTCACAAAATAAAGTCACCAAATCTTAAAATAGTCATTCTCATATTAATATATTCACACTTCTATAAATATTCACGTAGCTAGAACACTTTCGGAATTGTAGCTTTAAGTATATCATATCATCGGCTATTTAGTGTAATTACCTTCTAGTGCATTACTCTCATCGTGTCACGAGGACCTGTGCTGTGAGGACGTAGTCCCTGTACCCTAGACCTTCATATTTTATATTTAGGTAAAGCAAATGTACCTACATATTATATAGTTATAGAAGTCTCCAGTCGACTTCAGACGATAATAAAATATAGTAACTTTGTAGATTACGTTTTAGGTAAAAATGTTATGTAACTTTATGGTATTACTTCTAATCATTTCATTAATTTGGGCTGTTTTTCTCCTCTTTCGTAGAATAGTATGTAATAATAAAATAACAGTTTTGGCATAGAAAACGTGTAAAATGCCAGTATTCAAAGATTAACTGCGTTTGAAAATAGGACCCAATAAGAAAAAGAAAGGTCTAAGTATATTTGATTTTGATGAAAAAATTGCTACGGACTCTATAAAAGCTTGCAACCTATATTATTATTCATCTAACTGCGCTAATTATACCGTTTGTGTGGAATTTTACGAAAAAATATACTTATTAAATAATTTTCCACACGTTACGTCGCGTGTACACGATCACCCGATACAGTAATATAGAGTCGCCTATTACGTGCTCGAAAATATTAATATTTACGCCTTCAACCCCTACAGGTCACGCTTACAATGTTCATAGATATAAAATACCTAAAGGTGCATTGAGTTAAATTATCATTTGTTTTTAAGAATAAAAGGTAAATCCCCAATTTTTTAACATAATTAATCGGATCGCGAGTCACAAACAATAGATTTTTTGCGAATATCGTTGTGTGACATACCGGCCTTCAAAGGCTTAAAATTAGATGCCCCATATCACATGCTTGATCCACAGAGTTGGGATGCGGTCTATACTAATTACTGTATTTATATGTTTTTTAATTAAATAGCCCTAAAAATCACTTCAGTGGTCTGTATAGAGCTCGTTGCGGTTTATTTTGTTTTATTTCTGTGGAATTGATTAAATTGATTTCATTCACGCATTATTTGCAGTCTTAGAATTAGATAGATTATACGTGTAGGTAGTAAAATAAAGAGATTTAAATTAAGATTAGGGGGGTCCTTAGGGTACGTTAAGGTGGAACCCGAGCGGTCGTCAAAGGGAACACGTATTTAGAGGAAGTAGGTGTCCGTAGTTGATAGCTACAGGACAGACAGTACCACTGCATAGGAGTTGGAGTGCTATTATGTCAGATATACCTATGAAATAAGTCCCCTCCATTTGCTAGGAGGTACCTACAAATTACAGATAGCTAGGACGCCCTAGAGAAGTGAGTAGGCTAGGTAAAATCCTTAGGAATATTGAATAATAGCGTCCAGTCTTTGATTATTATTTACTAAATACTCGTAGTCACTCAAAGCGTCCAATTGCACACCTTTTATCTTCAATTAGTCTAACTTTGGCCCACTTGCTTAGTTGCTTAACATCTCACGAATCAAAACTGAGCATGTATAAAATCAACAAATTGAAGTCGATAAGTTTTTTTTAATAAAGATTTAAGAATCTTTAATTAGTACATACTTACTAGGTACTTAATTAATAAATGGAAAAGATGGTAACTAAGCAATTAAAGTGCAAGAGGACCTACTGAAAACCACCTGAATCTACATACTTTAAATAGATATAGACTTTGATTTCTAATTAAATACTAATATTAGGACGATTTTAAAACTTCGTCTGTCTATTGTGCCTATCGTAATAAAAGCTACGGCAAATAAAACTAAATGAACACTATGATTAAGTCTAGCTCAAATTATAATTCCTCAAAAATTTATCTGCACTAATTCTAAACACTAATTTCTTGAATTTTGTTTCTTTTATCCATATGTAGATAGTTTATGATATTTAATTAAATAATAATGTCAAGTAGGTTATTTCTAATGATGGTGATAAATCTCGAAATATTATGATGTCGAGCAATTAATGAGTATGATGGATAATGCTGGCAATATTTTACTAGGCGTTGTTTAACCAATACGCCACACGCGCGTTACGAGTAAATAAAATACCGCAATCATATGAATGCAACTAGGATCTTTATAAGACAAACTCGTGAAAGGGAAATAAATTTTAAAGATTTCTATAAAAGATCCATGAACTAGCTGACATGGCTGGACTGAGTTTACTAACTCTAAGTTGTCTGCATGTCTCACATAAATCCAAATACTTCACAGAAGTTAATTAGGTAGTTTGTAAATGTATATTGAAGGTAATAATATTGTAATTTAATATTTAAGTAAAACAGGTCTTAGTACTTCAATTTATAATTTTTACTCCTAATAAATATTTTGTCTTTCTATGCTGTAAAAGACTTGCAATACTTTTAATATTTGAAACACATCTCACTTCCATGAATCTCTCAGATTTTTTCAACTGGTTTTTATAAAACTAATGAACTTTCTTGTGACAAATTATGAAAATTCTCTTGTTTGTGCAATAATTAAAACTTAAGAAAATAATAAATGTATGTGATATTTTGCTGGTTGTTATATATTTTGCAATTTGCATGATAATTATTAAGATAAACAGCTTTAATATTTAGGTATAAGATGCCATATGTATTTAAATGCCTATTCACTTGAAACAAAATTGGCAAAACTTACTAAACAAATATTACTTGTACCTTCTTGACACAGGTTTACATACTTATTTGATTCAAAAGAATTTTGAATATGAATGAGCCTTTGGAATTGGACCAATTGTGGAAAACTTCTGTTCATGCTAAAAAAAGAATCAAAATAAGTGTATAATAGTGAGTTTCACTTTAAACTATTACATAAAATTATTTTATTGTATTTTGCTATGTCCAAAAAAACCCTTTACTTAATTATTTTACCAGGAAGCCCATTGTAACTGTAAATATATTATTGTTACTATGCATAATTATAAATTATGTACTTTTAAATTAGCTTAAAATAAACTTAATCACATACACCTTTGTTGTTTTACTCCTTTGATTATTAACCCCAAGTCATATAACATAATAACACAGAAGGAATGTATTAATAATATCTACAAATGGTTTAGGTAAATTAAATATAAAATTGTTAAGGTAAATTAAATTATATTTATTCAAAATTTACATCATTCCGTAGTAACAACTACAGCAGTTTATCTTAAATATAATAGCTAAGTAATTTAACAGAATCACCATTTAAGTCCTTTGTCAAGTAAATCCTTTCTTGCTTCTGCAATTTCGAGTTGGAGCTCTTTTGCCGCGTCCTCACAGTTGTTGAAAGTAAACACCCGGTATAAAACGACAGACGCCGCGTACAGCCCGAATAATATCACGAAGATCACCGGCGATACCAGAACCAAGTTCATATTGTTCTCAATGAGGGGATGTTTGACATAACCTCCGATGAGGGAATACCAGACGGCGAACACCGCTGATATCACAGAAATCCATTCCAATAACTTCGTCATAATTCTGTGGAGCAAAACATAAACTATATTAGTTAATATAAACAATTAACGAGCAAAAACTACATCAAAACGCAAGCGGCTAATTATGCAAGCCGATTTTTAGTGGGTTTACCTTGCCTTCGAAGTTTAGAGACACTTTTTCCAACGCACACGTTTCTATGTCTCTCTAAGTATTACAATTCGTGTGCCAGACACATGAAATTCGTCTGTAAATACTTAATTTAATTCAAAACAAAGTTCACAAAACACAGTTTTCTTCGCAAAACTGTTGACGTGACATTTTTGACAGCTGTGACGCACAGCTGTTGATGACAGATGAAGACTAAAACCGGTTGTGGCGTGTCGTGGCCATAGGTCGTGGCGGTAATATCGGTTTTTATAACTAGACTGAGCCCCGATTACGGTAACTTTTAACGTCAACAATCCAGACACGCTTCTCGATTCTGCGATACGATTGGTCGACCAATCGTATCGCAGAATCGAGAAGCGTGTCTGGATTGTTGACGTTACAAGTTACCGTAATCGGGGCTCTGGACCAATCTATAGTTCCAAAATACTGGACTGTCCTGTCGATGACATTGACAGTGGGGCGCCACCGTCAATACCGGATCGCTGGTTCAGATTTTTGCCATGTTGGAAACCATATAGTTGAACGATGGTAGCGCCCCCCTGTCATTGAGTTTGGCGGGACAGTTCTGTACAACCTACGATAGCGAGGTGTGCATGGGAAAATGAAAGCTATTTTACAGGCAATAGCATTGTTTATTGAGATTCAAAGCTAAGCTATGTGATGAACCTAGCTGAACCTAGCTGAACCTGGGTGGGCATACATTTCCAGGGGGTATATAAAGCCAGGAAAAAAACAAATGTTAGCGCGAGCTAAAGGAGCACAGCGCCATCTGTTATCCCAAATATAAACTATGTTTTACTTACCCATTGTTCTTGGTGGACTTGCTTTTCACTTGACACTCAAACTTATACAAGTTCAGCGTGGGTCATCTATAGTTGCGCTATCAGGGACGTTGCTATGTGAACGATGTGAACGACAGTGGTGCCCTCATTTAATTTCTACTCTTTTGTGTCGCACTGTATTGGCGCGCTCACTTAGAAACCGCGCTCGGTACTAATTTGTACCTATTTACTCTGGTTTTATTGAGCTTCGGTCTTCTATCATTAAGCTTTTGAAAAATCTGATAGGCAGCATAGTCCTTTTATTTTCAGCAGAGCCCCGATTACGGTAACTTTTATAACGTCTACAATCCAGACGCGTTTCTGATTCTGCGATACGATTGGTCAAAACAGCTGACGTACGCTGTTGAACGACCAATCGTATCGCAGAATCGAGAAGCGTGTCTGGATTGTTGACGTTAAAAGTTACCGTAATCGGGGCTCTGGGAACAAATCAGTCAGTGTTGATAGTAGTGCCCTCAAGAGAAAGTGGTACATAGATCCCAAAAAATCTAGGAAAAAAATCCATAAAAATAATTTATTTCAAAAATAAATAACAATAACGTTATCGACATAAAATATTCCTCCTTTTTCTGGTATTTCCGGTATGACGCATTATTCAATTTCGACTAAATTGGCAACACTGACCCTTGTGTCGTAAAAGGGTGAGTGAACCGCCTCATTGTTATTTATTGCATTTGTCTCTAATAATACATTAATTAGCCGTTTTACGGGTACAGGCAGTGCAATAACATAGGTCGCGACAGCCATGCCGATGTGAGTAATATACAAAAGGTGTGGCACGTCGCAGGGGCGTCGTTTCGTGGTGCAGTGACATCGTTGGTGTGAAAAATATTTTGCCTATCTCGTAAGATGACCGAATATAAGTTGGTGGTGGTGGGCGCCGGAGGCGTCGGTAAATCGGCATTGACTATACAACTCATACAGAATCATTTTGTGGACGAGTACGACCCTACTATAGAGGATTCGTATAGGAAACAAGTGGTGATAGACGGTGAGACGTGTCTGCTGGATATTTTGGACACGGCAGGGCAGGAGGAGTACTCGGCGATGCGGGACCAGTATATGCGCACGGGGGAAGGCTTCCTGCTGGTGTTCGCGGTCAACAGCGCCAAGAGCTTCGAGGACATCGGCTCGTACCGGGAGCAGATCAAGCGCGTCAAGGACGCCGAGGAGGTACCCATGGTGCTGGTCGGCAACAAGTGCGACCTGCAGGCCTGGGCCGTCGACATGACGCAGGCGCGCGAGGTAACTTTGTTTACATTCACTATTACATAGTATGTAGGTAGGTACTAAGCTTGTGGTTAATTTCCAACAAAACATCAAAAAATACCATGAGTTTTTAATTCTTAAGTTTAGATAATGCGTGTCAATAACTTGTTTCTGAATTTTGTTGCTTACAATTTCTAGGTATTACTAAAGATAAAGCATTTAAAAAGCCCTAAATATGTAAGCCAGGAGTACAGTATTGTCTTAAAATGTGTTATTTATTTCGTAGGTAGTAAAAAAAAAGTTTTAATTTAAGTCAAACTTCAAATGTATTAATTATCCTAATAACTGTTTGTTCTTAATACTCAAATATTTCCGCCTACACACTTTAAAATAGTTATCCTTTGACCTTGGTTGCAGACTTGAGGTAAATATGTAAAATGTAAACACAAATGTGGTGCTTGACAGGAAAACAAACAATATAAAGGGGAGATAGGAAAGGACTGATTTGTTTGCTTTCAGCATGTACAAGGAAGTAGTAACCCAACGCACATAACGTTAAGATTTTATTGTTTATTTATTTCACTAATTACATGTTTACAAATAATGATTATTACTTAACGACTCAAAGTATGATTGTGTATCAAAAGAAAAATAAATAACGATCATTTTTTAAACCATTGGAATGATGATAATAATTAAATATTGTAGAGGGTAGTTTAATTTTAAGAAGTAACATGTTCAAAGGTGTAATTTTAAAAACTTCTTTTTATGTTAAGAAGTAGATTATTCCTAAATTCCACTATTTGTATTTACATTAGTAGGTATGGTTAATTGGTCTTTTTGGAGTACATAATTATGTAAAAAATCTAAAATGTGATATCGGTGGGTACGGCAATGCCCCTGCCAAGTCGAGTTGTATTTTTACAGTGACCTAGAGAAATTATAGTGTTAGGGAACCAGTAGCAGTCCTACATACATTGTATAATTTTTTTTTAGTATTACCTACTTATTGTCTTTATGAATATGAGATGTATTTTAAATTTTATGTAAACTCAAACTCAAACATTTTATTTGCCATTAAGTAGGGTACAGGTACAGATGGAATACAGGAAAAGCTCATTATCCTACTCAGCCAATTACATATTGCATGCAAATATCATGAAGAAATTTCAATTTATGCTGTTAGTTTGATACAGTATGCAATTAATTTGTTGTTCGTATGTATGTTCTATTTTATGTAAGTTGGTTTTGTGACAATTATACATATAATTTATTTATTTATTTGTCCATAGATAGTCTCACCATTATGGCCCACGAGAGACTTTAATTTAACTAATTAATGTTTGTTAATATTTAGCTGCCTCAGTGGCCAAAATTCTTATCTTACTATTTAAATACCATTAGTCCCAAGTATATGTTGTAATAAGTAATGTTTTAGTACCTATTTCTACACTCAACATTTCCTGATTTCAAATAAGGAGCATGGGCATTTATGTAGCTGAATGGCCCCCGGTAATATTGGTTATTTTTTCTAATAATTCCACATTTAGGACATTTCGTGCAATTATTGATCACATAGGTTATAACAGAAGGCGAAAGGCAAATATTGCATCAATGTGATAAAAAATATTAGTTACTGTTTACTATCTATCTACATGAATAATCAAACTAAAATACCAGCTAGCTTTTCACATCATTCAAAACGCGCCAATGCCGGCCAAAAGGACTAAGCGCGGGAACTGCTGCTTGTGATACAGATACTAATATAGCGTTCCAGCTGCTGCGAGGTCAAGTCGTCTATGTAACAGCACGCCAAAAGATCGACCCTTGCGCTTAGGAAGCCTTAATAGGCATGTGACGTTAACGTTAATAAAGATGACGAGTTTCTTAGGAGCATAATATGCTGGATTCGACAATGCCCTACGTCTACAAAAATCTACTAAGTCCTACTGCAAAGTCAAGTTAGGAGGCCACTCTCCTCAACTCGCAACAATTTTTTTACAAAACTAAAGCAATAACTCATCGTTTTCAGGTGGCGCGGAGTTACGGCGTGCCTTTCGTGGAGACGTCGGCTAAGACGCGCATGGGCGTCGACGACGCCTTCTACACGCTCGTCCGAGAGATCCGCAAAGACAAAGACAGCCGCGGCAAGCGCAACCGCAGAGGGAACAAGATGCCGCGCGGCCGGTTCAACAAGTGCGCGCTCCTGTAAATAACGCGTCTAACATTGGCGAGCGTGGGCATTACCTTGGATACGAAGCGAGCGGGCTGAGCCGAGCGAGCGAATCTAAAACATGCAACCTACGCCGATCGGCGTCGCCAAAGGGCTTCAGCTCGCGCCAAAACTTTACGCGACTATTACTCGCTTCCAAAAGATACTCCTAACAACGTTTTCGTGTTACCCACATTTACTCATTGCTTACAACGAAAATAAAAACTGTTCTTGTGGGCCGAGTACTTGCCTGTAAGACAAGAATAACTAAGCAGATTGTCTTTATTTCCACATAACTTTGATGTCCATGAATCCCATGGTTCTAGTCCAAGAAATCAAATAATTTACCTACCATTTTGAAAAGATCCACTTATCCACTTTAGTGACATTTTGGTTGGCTTGTCCTCAAAACGAATTCGATTCAAAGCATTGATTTAATGCTATTGCTGTGATACTGACCCAATCCTGTCTTCCAGTGGGAAAGAAGACGTGGTTTCCTCCATATAGCGATGTCTATCCACCAAACCTCATACATTGTTGCCATATTATCATTGACGAGTCAATAGGAAATGTCCACGGTCGTCGATACCTAATCTTATGTATTATACAGCTAATGTATGTCGGTCCCACATCGGTACTTCGGCCAATAATCTCATGTGCGAAGTGCTGGCGGGATGACACGGTACGGGCTCGTGAGTGATGCAAATCGAGATTGAGTTTTTGACTGCCTATAACTAGATCTGAAGAGCAGCTTCTTACTATACCTTAATTCTTTAAACGTGTTTTGAATTATAGATAGGAATCCAATGTACACTTTGTATTCGGCCATAATTTAATTTTGTTTTGTTGTATATTTTTGTTGATGCGATTGTGAAACTTTTCTGGAGTGCCTAATTACTGGAACCAAGCGTCAATTCGTAGTTTCGTATTCAATAACGCGTCTCTAATTTGATTAGAGGCAAGTCCTCGTGGTTACCAGATGAATCTCTGAGCTTATGACGTATGAATTCTAAATAGCAGAATAACTTTTTTATTACTTGTTATACTTGTAAAATCTGTACAACGTACCGCAATTTACCTCGGAGGGCAAATATCTACAAAAATTGTCCTATAGAAAATATCTCCGCTACTGTTAAGACACATGCCGGCGGCCGGCTAAAATCATTGAATTTATCTATAAAAAGTGATAGTGTTGTTCACCTATAGGCATAAAAACTCAATCTCGTAACTCTCAAGGTGCTATTATAAATCATAGTACACTTGCAGTGGGACGCGCCCAGTTTGCCATAGTCTTTTTATAAATATTGATCAAGTGTCGTTACGGTGAGGAGTTTTTTCAGGTTTTTAGAATTAAGCTTGCTACACTCTAAACTACTCCAATATAGGTAGTTAGAAACAAAGTCTATTAAAACATAGCCAAAATCATGTTTTACCGATACTTATTCGCTTGAGTCCGTTTGATCGACCGTCATTGAACAATGGTTGTGCACAAATACAGTTTAAACTATTTCAAGTACAATTTTAATTGGTTGTTAGCGCTTTATAATGAGTGCATTACATCACATTGTTTAATTTTAAATAAATGATTATAATCCAACCACTCCACCAGGTCAAGTTAACTGACGGTTCTGCTCCGTTGCACAACGTAAGTTTTCGTTTAGAGTCGACTATTTGTTAGTTGAACTGTTGAAGATTAAAGTCTGGTGAGAGGAGCGTCGTTTTCTCCACTCGCCTCGACCTATGGCCTTGCCTTATCTCCTTGTTCCTAGCGCTGCAACGTTGATGAATCACAATCAATTAACATTTTGAGAGCAACAAACATAATAACGCGAGCTACATCATGCTTATTTTAACTCTAGTTTATATGTACGATTTGAATTCAAATATCGAAACTATATTAATCAGTCTGAATTTTGTATCATGAAACACGAGCGTGTTACTATCTGAGCAATGAGAATTTAAATATCAAATTATTTGTTATAATAGTGTATTAAATATTAAGATCATTGTTAAATGTTTTCTACTGTAGCTAATTTTACATGTAGAGGGAATTTTTCATAATATTTCTACCGCTATTAGTTTTAACATAGACTGCTGAAGTGATCACACAGTTCTCATTACTTGGCCAAGTTTACTTCTGCATGTTGGAGTCAAGTTGGTGTGTATTTCATAATCTAATATACAGTATTCATATCCACAGACAAATAGGATTGTTTATAGGTACTAAATACTTTAATTAGTTGAAGAAAACGCAATCGATTTAGTGAGACTGTGCCCTTTGCGTATGGCGTGAGTCGATCGATACATTGGCGTCTAATGTATTTACTAATAACATTTGATTCTATCTTTCTCACTCATCTTGGAATATTTGCATGAGTGAAAGAGATAGATAATGCCAAAATAAATAAATAAATAAATAAAATTGTTTCTCGATGCGTTTGCGCAGTTGACGCACTGATCCACAGTCTAACTTGTTGATTGTACTTCCTACTGTTTTGTAAGACATTTTGTATGCAACTGAACTTATGATTATTACTGTATTTATGTTAACAAACTAGCAGTAAGGTCTAATTGCTCTGGGTTATAGTATAATAAGTAAAACTCTGAAATGAAGTATCGTTCCATCGCTTTTAGTCTGTATGAAGTTAATAGTGAAAAAATGATTTAAATCATGTAAGACATAGACCTTTCTTTAGTCTGTTATCAGAAACTTGGTACATATAGCTAAGCATCAATTTTTTTCTGTCATAAATTAAATGTATGAAAACTGTCTGCCCATTGGTGACTCCTTTCCCGACTACATAACCGAAAACTTATTCTTTTGTAATTTGGCACGATGTGACTTAAGTTACTATTTTATTGGGGAATAAAGTATAAAGTACCAAATAAATATTTTTTCTTTCTTTCTTTCTTTCTTTCAAAACTAATATCTCGTGTTGATCGGCCGATTGTTACCAATGTGAAGACACATGATCGCAGTATTCGTGTACAGTGAGCTGGATTTACGATTTAGATTGCTATGGGATATGATCACATCTACGTCATACCGGTATTGCATTTGCTTGCTTCTCATAGCGTCGTCTCGTTTTACCTACGGAGTCGGAGCATGACGATGCTTTACGAATATAAGGCACTTTACACACTGAATGTCGATGGTTAAGAAGAGCTACATTTATTCAAAAATTGTGTTGACTTCCGTCTGTAGAGAGCTTAAAATATTAATTGATCTGTAGTGTTAAAAAAGGGGAAAATGTAGCCCGTTCTAACTCCGACTCTGGGTATAGTGAAATGACGCTATAGGTACGAAAGATTGAAAGAATCTAATACACTTCTCTAATGTCGAGTAAATGATGGGGTGGTTAAATGTACAAATAAACAATAAAAATAGTTTTTCAGCTCACTGTTATAACAAAAACCATCAAGTACCTATGAATTGAAATGTTTTTTTTACTTACATAAATTATAACTTAAGTTTTAGAGGGTCATCAAGAGCGCCATTTATTCATATGGATTGTATAGATTTTTATTTGCATCAATGTATTTGTGTCTGCTGTAAAACAATGAATATTTTGAACGAATTTTTACAATAATCATGGTTAAACAATAGTTTCTGTAGGTTTTAAGGAATTACTTTATAAATATTATTAATTGATTAGACGAAAAACATGTATAGTTAATTGCTTTCTAAGAGTTTATGAACGACAAAGCTGCCATGAAATCAATTCATCATCAAAAACTATATTTTGTTTGCCATAATATTTGACATTTGTTCATGTTTTAATCGGATTATTTATTTTTAGTTTCAATTTTAAATACTGCGACGAATGAGAAAATCACAAACATTTTATTGTAATAAAAATCAACTTTGATGCTAGTGCACAATTTTGTTGGAAATAGTAGGTATTTTCGATTAATTCTGTAACAGTATAGCACAAGAATGTGTGCTAATTGAAATAAATAAATTGATGAATCAACGCGTGAGTGTTTTTGTTGTTAATGCTTTGCTATATTTTATTTTAATCGACGCAGACTCGATGTAGCCATAAGACACTTTGGAAACAAGAGGTGCGCAAATATTTATTTTAATTTATTACTTACACAACTCTCATCCCCACCTCTGTCTGATGTCACACATAAGTTAACCAGCATAAACTGTCCGAGAGGAAAAGAAAATATGCGCGGTCTTATTGCACCGTCAACTATGAGTCTGCGCCGAAAATAGTCAACTCATCAGAAATATTTCCTAAACTAAGTACACTGTATTGTTTCGAACATCATCAACACCCTGTATTTACAGATTTTAGTTTTTTTTTTCACGACAGCACAGTGCCAATGCCTCAAATCAATAATTAAAAAAAAACAAATGTATGTTTCTGACACGACACATGTCATGTTGACATTGACAACAACATGCAATGACGTGGGTTCTTGTAGAAAAATGTAAACAAGTTAATTTTTACTTTGGAAAAAGCGCGGGAAACGGCGAACTGAGTAGGCGTCTTTTTTTGGCTTTTGTAAATTTAATTTGAATTAAGGATCAAATAAGTGGTGTATTGTATATATTTTGTTACTTTTTATCTGTATTTACGTAGTTCTTGTGTAATTTCATCAGTTATTCGGTAAGTCATTGCATTTTGATTTTTTCGTGATGTGTGAACCTGACGACCCTGGGGGAGGCGTAGTCCCCCAGGCGTCCAATTTTGTTACGATTTCTAATAATTTAACCGATATGGAAACCGATGGATCATTATTTGACACGGATGGGTCTGGAAAGAATGTAAATTCAAAGAATAAACGTAAACGTTCCTCTGTGCATAAAGTTTGTAAACACTGCAACAAAAAACGGAGAAGGAATCGAAAATCTAATTTAGGCGGCACTGCTAGTGAATTTGAATGCCAATGTATCAATGAACTTACTACTCTAACGCAAACCGCTTCAACTCCTATTGATTCTTCGCAAGTCACCCTCCTTCTGGCGCAGTCGGGTAATTAACTAATTAATAATAACACTCACTCACCCCATCGCATCGTTCCGTTCGGTTCATGATAATATTCGGCCGACGACGGCGAGAGGGCGGCGGAGGCCTCCAGCCGCCGCCGCCGCCGCAGACAGCGACCGCCCGCCCGCACGCCCGCCACACCACCAGCACCAGCACCAGCAGCAGCAGCAGCAGCAGCAGCAGCAGCAGCAGCAGCAGCAGCACACATTGTTCACGCACCACCAACTGAAATTATGAACGGAGAAACCACATAAGTATCTGTGTATGATACCACAACAACATCACACGCATCACTTTGGCACTTTGTTTGTTCGCACACATAATCATTTATCGTTTAAATCGCTCTCAATTTACTTGCTTTTACCGCACAACACACACAACTAACTGAATGAACGAATAACAACAACAACAACAAGTAGCCACCTGAGTTAACTTATAACTTGTCTTGCATTTGATGCGCGTCGTCGTTCACTTTTCGCCATTTCAGCGGCAAAATGATAACACAATTTATATGTATTATCATTCAACTTTCACAACTTTTTATAATAATCACCAGAATCCCGCCGCCCGACTGCCCTGTCTGCCGGGTGCCGGCNGCCCGACTGCCCGACTCCCGACTCCGACTCCGACATTTTATATTAATAAAGGTCTCCAGGGAAAACCTGTATTTATAGGCTAGACAGGGTGCATTGTTTCTTACGTCAATGTCACCACGACTGACCAATCATAATTAAGAAAGAGATAGCGAATAGGCCATCTCGCTCGCATATAAAACATAGAAAGAGACAGTGAATGGGCGGCTGTCTCGCTTCTTCATCAGGAATTTTAATTGCGCCCAAATATGTGTGAAGTATGGCTAACAGCATATTCCTTTACTGGGGCAGTGAACTACCCGCCAGTCCTACCCACTCTCCAACGCAGACATCCTGACCTCTGACGACGACGTCACTGTAGCCATCGAGGCCGCCACCAGCCACCACCGGACACCAGTTTGCACCAACGGACCTATCGTCCTCGCCGGCGACGACATGCGCCGGAGCCCTTCGACCCGCTCCTTTTTCTCGTGGTATCGGCACATGTACAATCTCCCCCTAAACCTATGTTTCCTTGTTTGGTTACCACGTCCCCCAGCAACGCCCTAGGCCGAGGTCCGAGCTCCACCGAGCAGAGGTTTGGGGAGAGAAGCGGCCGGGCACGTGCCGATACCGCGAAAAAAGGGGCGGGTCGAAGGGAACCGTGGCGAGGATGATAGATCGGTTGTTTTTGTTGTTTGAAGTGGTGCAAATTATCTTGGGACAAATGGAAGGCAGACGCGCTCGGGGCAGGGCACCGACGAGATGGTCGGACGCGGTGAGGAGGACGGTGGGCGGGAGTGCATCGTGCGGTCCACACAGCTTATAACCGCAGTCTGTGGAGGAACATTATCTGTGGTCGCGATCCTCATCAGTGAGGGAACAAGGAAGAAGAAGTTCCTGGTACGACGTCTGCATGGGAGGGTCCGGCGAGTAGTTCGCCGGCGAGGGTTCGGGTGGGACGTGGAAGAGTCAAAGTAATTCTCAGATAATTGCTTATGGTACGATAACCCCAAGTCAATATGGAGATTTTCATTACGCAAGTATTACGGGGCTCGCATGTTCGCGGAAGGTTAACCTGAGGGCGGAAAGGGCGGCGTGGGTTGTAGCGGCGATGGCTTAAACCTCGGGAAGTCGCTAGTGAAAAGTGAGAAAAGGAGGGGCGTTGTTCAGTGTGCAGTTTTGGATCTGCTATTAGACGCGTTGAGTTTGCTGAGAGCTCCGTTTCATTGGGCTCCAATGGACACCGTCGGGTTTTAGTGAGACTCGCATAGCCCACTGGTCGTCCCCAACCCCATAGGCCAGTGATGTTCAAAGCATTTTCCGACGTTAAAAAAAGAACCGGTCATTGTGGAAATCTATGAGGAGGCCCCAGCATTGGACGACATTAAGGTTGCATCAAGAGTGAGTTGGCCAGGTTGAGTCGTATATTTCTAGTCCAGTTACTTCTAACGTTATTTTTAACGAAAAGGTCGGTTGCTCAGCGGCACACACGGCGTCACTCGCCACGGTACCTGCAGCGGTTTTACCGCAGCTTTCTTTCATCCTAAACGGTCGGCCGTTTGGTGTAGTGGTTCAGAACGGACTACTATGCCGAGAGGTCCCGGGTTCGATTCCCGGCCGGGCAGAAATTGAAATGATGAATTTTAATTTCTGTGACGGGTCTGGGTGTGACTATCTATAATATGTATGTATTTAAAAAAAAAGTATATTGTAGTATATCCGTTAAGCTAGCACCCATAACACAAGCATTAAGTTGCTTACTTTGGGGCTAGCTGGCGCTGTGTGAAATTGTCCAAAGATTTATTTATTTATCCTGTCAGTCTTGTTCGTAATAGTAACATCGTCGCCCGCCGCTTCTTCCGCCGCGTCTCCCGCCACTTCAGCTACCGCGGCCTTCACGTATCGTAGCCCGTCTATAAACTGTTTGTAAAGCGCCATCTATGGTTCTTCTTACTTTCTTACCGAACTAACTAGAATAACTAATTCATATAAATAACCACAGATGGCGCTACACACTACGTCCGTGCTGCTTGCATGCACGGCCATTTTTACATTCCCTTTCGAACCACTGTCTGTAAAACTACTGCGTGTGAAATACAAACCCTTTACCAACAAACGTCTCCTGACTTTTTCTCCAACAGTGTTGCAAAAACGCTTCTCCTTGAACCTATCTATACCTACATCGCCATATAATATGATTGTGTGACGCCTCGCGTCGCACCGGAGGGCTGAATGTGAGTTTACATCAAACGTCCTCCCTCACTATTAGTGAGCGCGTAAAAAATTACATTAAATGCATGACGGATTGTACAGCGCCCCTAGCGGAAACTTTCAAGGACTAAAATTTTCATACATTTTTAACGCGCTCACTAGTGATCACGTTTGATAAGCTCACACTCAGCCATCGGATACTCGTGACACCTCCACTCGGTCTCAGGCGATGACGCCGCGGGTTGTAGCGAGTATACCCTTCTGTGCGGGTATTATACCATCCTTTTCAGGTGATTCCCCGGCAGTGGACACGGTGCGCAAAGCATTCCACCGCGTCAAAAAAGTAATAAAAAGAAGCACTAGCCTGCCAAGTAAGTCATGGTTCACAAATAGAATTTTGCCTGTTATTTTTCAGAACTATTAAAAAACTACTTAACACTTGAAGATTTTCAGAAAACATCTCCAAAGTCTCAACTCTAAGACAACCCCGGATTCAACCTCAAAACTATTAAAACTATTGGTCTCCTTTATGTATTCCTGCTAATAGGTACATAAATAATATGCCGGAAGTACTTACCTCCAAGCGGTGGAGGCAAATAATAACAGATAATAAAGTCAATTGTTTGTATTTCACAGTGGCGCCAACTGGTGATCACTGAAGCGGTAGGAGAACTTTAGCATCGTACTCACTGGGATGGCGCCACTGTAGAGTAAGTGAGGTTCTATCACTTCTATCCAACAGTGGTGCCAACGTGATACCCAGACGAACAAAGAAAGAAACCTTATTTTGATTGGCATTCACAAACTTGCAGGCATGCTCACGCCATGAAGCTACAGATAAAAATGGAGGCCACACTCCGAATACCTACTTGAAGCACAAACTAAGTATCACTATNGCGGCAAAATGATAACACAATATACCTAATTATCATTCAACTTTCACAACTTTTTATAATAATCACCAGAATCCCGCCGCCCGACTGCCCTGTCTGCCGGGTGCCGGCGCTTGACACTGACGTTTAATTTTTTTTTTTTTTTTTTTTCATTACGCAAAAAAAACGCGTTTTTTACCACACATACATCTGCCTACATAAAGAAAAAAAAAATCAAATTAATTAACCAAGTGAAAAGGAAAAACCCTTTTTTTTTTTTTTTTTTTTTCTCCCGTTTATATCAGCACGGTCTGTCACAAACCAACGCGAAGCGAGTGAAAGAGAAAGACAAGTGTGTCTCTTTCTGAAAATTTCGCGCGAGACGTGCATATCTATCTATCTCTTTCTGACAGTGAAACGTTCGCCCCACTAATNTGCCGGGTGCCGGCGCTTGACACTGACGTTTAATTTTTTTTTTTTTTTTCCATCACGCAAAAGAAACGCGTTTTATACCACACATACATCTGCCTACATAGAGAAGTGAAAAGGAAAAACCCTTTTTTTTTTTTTTTTTTTTTCTCCCGTTTATATCAGCACGGTCTGTCACAAACCAACGCGAAGCGAGTGAAAGAGAAAGACAAGTGTGTCTCTTTCTGAAAATTTCGCGCGAGACGTGCATATCTATCTATCTCTTTCTGACAGTGAAACGTTCGCCCCACTAATGGGTTTGCGCGCGCCGTTATAAATATTCTGCGCTCAACAAAAATTGACACAGACGGTCTCGACGCGCGCTCGCCGTTACACGTTCACTTTGTGTGTTGATTTATTTCTCTACAAACTACAAACAACATGTCGGGTCGCGGCAAGGGTGGCAAGGTCAAGGGAAAGGCAAAGTCCAGGTCCAACCGTGCCGGTCTCCAGTTCCCCGTCGGTCGTATCCACAGGCTTCTGCGTAAGGGCAATTACGCCGAGCGTGTCGGTGCCGGTGCGCCCGTGTACCTGGCCGCCGTCATGGAGTACCTGGCCGCTGAAGTGCTCGAGTTGGCCGGTAACGCGGCTCGTGACAACAAGAAGACCAGGATCATCCCGAGACATCTACAACTGGCGATACGCAACGACGAGGAATTGAACAAGCTCCTCTCCGGCGTCACCATCGCCCAGGGTGGTGTGCTGCCCAACATCCAGGCCGTGCTCTTGCCCAAGAAGACCGAGAAGAAGGCATAAATCGCCGCCGCGTTTTCGCATCATTTATGTATGCTGCACTCTGCTGCNTTCATGGCTCACGCGCAGTATAGTATGTGGTTCCAAGATAGCGCCATCTGTAGATATTAGAGTGCAAGTCCAAGCTTAAGTGTAAACCACATACTACACATAAATTAATAGCTATTCCGGATTTCCTAAGTTCGTACTAAGATGGTGCAGGTACCTAAATAATTAAACTTCATAAAAAAAAATCTCAAATGTCTTTGTTGTTCGACTTTATTCCATAATAATTTTGAATTAAATTTTTACGGAAACAACGCTCTCTATGCAAATTATTTAACATTATTATTTTTCGATACAAAATGGCACCGAGTCACTTTCTTTTTACGACCTGTGATTTGAACCAATTATAAAATCAAAATAACAAATTCACTGACTAAAAATATTAAACTGCAAGCCACCACGGTTTTTATGAAATTGCCTACCTTTATGAAATGCTTGCGGTTGCCCGTTGCAGTCTGCGCCCCGATTTCGCTAAATTAAAATACATATTTTCAACTGCTACGCCACTAGACGACGAACGAATATCAGCTTTTTGCACTGTATAGCCACAGTATATATATGAGCTAAAGCAGTACGGAAACTTAGCCCTTTCGGCGAGTTAAATACCTACACTTCAACTGAGTGTTAGGGTTGGCACTCTTAATCTTTATAAAATAATAAGGTTCTTACTTACTTATTTATTAAAACGTTTATTTAGGTTTTTTTATTATCAAATACCTAATGGAATAAATTAATTGACTAAGTAGTTAACAAAAAAATAAAACGTTAATTGGGTTCTATAATGATAGAATACATAATCGAATAAATTGATTAAGTATTATAAAAGGCCGGTAGAAGATCTATTCTCATATAAAATACCGGATNTATTTTCCTTTAAAATCCGTTTCCCAACCTTTACACCTCGTCATTGGCAAATGCACAAGCCGTGCGCGCCAGAAAAAAAAAAAAAAAAAAAAAAAAATTTTTACTTTATTAAATTGCTGTATATTTGTGTTTATACCTGTAATTATGGATGCTAAAGACGTTTGCGTTGAAATAGAAAACGATGAGTTCTACAGTAAGTTCTTGGATGAGTCCATAAAACCCGTCATAACCGAAAACGTCTCCGTTACCGAACAAGTCGCAAAACTTGCCCTGGGAATTGAAAAATTGGGAAAAAGCCTAGAAAAACAAGTCCTAGCTAAGCACAATGATCTCCTTACGCAGGCAAGTCACATTTCAGACCTAGAAACTACGTTAGAGTCAGTACAATCCCAGGTCCAGAGTTTACTTCGCGGCGCCGAAAAACTCAAAGAAAGAGTGGACACGCCTTATTATGCTCTGGAAAACCAAACTAAAATGCTAGAACGAGTTCAAACTACTTGCAATTTGCTGAGACATAGCTCTAAAATATTGACCCTATGGAATAAACTTGAAAGCGTGAAAGATAACCCAGCCAAAGAAGCTATCATCCTCTTTGAACTGAACGAACTCATCGGCGACTATGATTTCGATGGCATAGAGCTGCTGCAAGAAGTATTACGAGAGGTGCAACACAGGAGGAAAACCCTGCTGGCTGATTCCACTGAAGCCCTCCAAACCAGTTTGTTGAGTGGAGATAAAACCAAACTCCTACAGTGTTTCAAAGTATTCCATAATTTGCAATGCACTGATGAGCAAATAAAAAACACAGTGCAAAGTATTCTGAATGACCTGAAGAAGGAAATCTCCACAGCACTCAATGTGCAAATGGTTTCAATTGAAGTCAAAAAGTCAAGCTCTGGGAGAATGGCACCAGGGAAAGCCAACATAATGAATGCACAAGATTTTAAAATAAAACTGTGGGAAAACATTGAAAAACTTTTTAAAGTGGAGATTTACAATAGCTGCACTAAAGTTATTATGTTGCAGAATGTAATAAATGAGCTGCATGCCATAGGCAATTTCAGGAACATCGCTAAAAACTTTTGGTCTGATCTATTAGTCACCTTTGCAAGTGAATTGGAGAGAAGCCCACATAATGTGAGCCAGTCTATTGAGATTGACTTCCCTAAGCTCCTGAAATGTTTCAATGACTTGCTGTCAAGGTTAAAATGCAAGGACTTGGAAATGAACCGTACCAGTTTGACCAAATGGGAGAATTCATTTTTATCTAAATCCCTTGGAAAACTGTTGGAGCCAGTCAGAAGCATGTGGCATCTGAGCCAGGTCCCCAATATGGATCAAATAGACAATGCCATTAGAGTGATTGCTGAGGCACTGAGCATATCTCTTGGTGACAAGCAACTGAGCATAAGTTTAGCCAACAGTGTGGCAAAGTCAATAAAGCAAATGAACATGGAAACTGAACAGAGGCTGTCTATGGACAGTGATGTGGCCCAGATTATAGAATCCCCTACAAGCACCCAGCAGAAGAATGCAGACCTCTGCAACTCACTCTACTACTTTTCCTCCCAAATAAAAAGAGTCCTTCTAAACATGAACTCAATCTTACCACCAGAGAGCATCCAGATCGTTCAGAACAGTTTGAAAGACATTTCAAGCATGCCAATACTGCAATTATTTGCAGAATCTATTAAAAACTCACTTTATATCATTTTAATGACAATGCATGATGAGTCTGACTTGGTGAGAGCTGATGATCCAACAGGAAAGTCCTTATCTTGTTCTCCATACATGAAGGAGCTCCAGCAATTTGTTTCTAGATGTAAAGACATTTACTTGTCTATGTTTCATGAAAAACCTGCTTTGAATGAGTGCTGTATCAACATCTCAGTGGCCTGTGTGGAGCGTTTCATAGTTCATGTGTGCAATGTGAGACCCTTGAGTAAATATGGACGAGTGAAACTTCAGATTGACTGCAAGCACCTGGAAATTGCATTATCCCCATTGATAAATGATGTGACTGAACTTGGTGATCATTACAGGCAATTGAAAGCCTTGAACTTAATTCTGGAGAGGACCCCTCAAGAAATTGCTAAGAGTCAGTCTGAGGGGGCTTGCCTGCCCTACTCCTTAGTCTCTATGTTCTTATTCTCTTACGCCGGGCCGCAGTTGCTCGCGCCTCACGCGTGCGCCGGGTGGAACATACAAAAGCTTACACAGTGGTTGGATACTCATAAAAACGAAAAGGAAAGACTTGAATTTGTTGCTGGTGCTCTACAGAGATACCAAAACCATGTAAGACAAAATCAGATCCAGACCTATGATGAGGTGTACCCAGTATTAGTGCAATTACTTGAAGATGGAAGGAAAAGTTTGAAAAAATAATTGTAATGTTAAGAGAAACATTGTATAGTTTCATCATTTTATTTAATAAAGTTATTTAACAGGTTACTGGGTCTTGTCTTCTAGCAGGACACAGCTGAACTGCTCGAGTCTATGTCTCCCATCTGTTGTAACACAAAACTAAATCAGTAACTGCACCTGTTATTTCTATTTTAATCTAACAAATCCTAAAATATAATGTAATACAGGAATTCTACAGGACTACAGGAATTCTAGTTCTACAGGAATAAAGAATAAAATACTGTTTTATAAAAAATCATTATATTTCTTAGAGATAATATAACAAGATACAACAATAAACTACAGCTTATACATACTTTATACAACAACAATATTAATGTATTCTCTCATGTCTCAACCTTACTAACAACTCGCCCAAACACTACACTACTGAAGTCTTAAATGCAAGGATTTGGTAGTTTTTTTTTACACTGGCAACTTAATACATTTGCATTTGCGAATTTTACAATAAACTGGCAGTGTTCCAGCAAGGCAAATTAAATTGAAAAATACTGCTCAAAAACTATTTTTTTATTCTTACTAGTCTTGCCATTATCATTACAGTCGGATGGAGAAAAAACATCAGTCAAAGATAACATGTGATGTGATTTGCAAAACATCTCATCTGAATTTCACTATCAGTGCAGTGCATTGATACAAAATGATAATTGGTATTAAATTCGAAACGCATCATTTAGTTTCTTATAAAAACAGTATAACTGCCTGATACCAACAATATCTTACATTGGATCAAATATTTTCTTAAATAAAACATGTTCGTTTAATTTCCCAATACAATACTCCACTAATTAATGTACTTGTGTGATAATTGAAGCTGTTACGCTAGCTACTTGTAATAATAATTACACTATCTTACACTAACTAAAAACAACATTTAAACTTGATGTATTTTATATGATAACTTTACATTTAAAACAGTTTTTACAACCATCTGATTTATACAAAACAAGAGAGATTGTTTTAAATGTAAAATTTGAAATAAATACATCAAAATAATTCGATTTTTTTCTTCTATTTTCACCATAAATTCAAATAGCCCCTAAATGAAAGGATATTTTATAATTACAGACTTGAATCCAGATGATTATCATAAAAGAAATACTAGTATTATTCTGTGTGTTAGGACATGTATGACATAAGGTCACGCACGCTGGATTAAAAAAAAAGGGAAAAGACTGCAGCATTATCTAAAATACTACTGTGTCTGTGTCTCCTTGAACACTTGACATTGACAAATTGACAGAATCTCCGCGACAATAAATCCGCGAAATAGTAAAAAAAAAAAGGTCACGCTGACGTATTTGGCAGCCATCGACAGACCAATTGGCCAACGTCGGAATTCCATTTGCCTGTAGTAATTTAAAGATGAAGATGCTCCTACATTGGAGACCAAATGACCTGACGGGGATGCTGATCGTCTGCTGACACAAATTGGAAGAAGTCTAAGGAACCCTCAGAGCCGGTCGACAGCACACCAGAAGAACGATCAAGGAACTGAGGGCCTAGTGTACATTAAACGCGCTCACTAGCAGAGTAAATACAAATGAGTAGGTCATCTTGCTTGGATAGTCGTGCGCGCCGCATACGTATTGGTGCGCGCTCACATACAAACCGCGCCCGTGCGTTTCTATGAAGATGACCTACTCATTTGTATTTACTCTGTCACTAGTGAGCGCGTTTGATGTAAACTCACTCGGCCCACTGATTAGGGGCTATTTACTCTACGGTGGTTAATATAACCGATTGCGAGGCTGCGTGCTAAGATACTAAACCTTGTCTTCCGCGAAGGCAACCCTGAACACGTCATCGTAGTGGCTCACGAAGTGGATATCGATGTTGTCCTTTATGAATTGAGGCAGGTCGTCGAAGTCGCGCCGGTTCTCCTCTGGTAGGATCACGCAGCTCACACCCACGCGTTTCGCCTGAGGTGGTAAGAAAAGAAAGGTACAGTCTAATTTTTTAGAAATCAGCAGAAATGTCATCAAATATGGCCAACTGACATAAAAATATTTTTGGTCTGTGAACTAGTGATGCGACAAAACCTCTCGTTAATCGCGAAGTGAAATTATTGTAGTACTTGCGTATCATCGCCGGGTGATCGTCAAAATACTAAAAATATGCAACAAAGTCGCAACATTGAATGTGAACTGATTATGAAATTTTCGAGAACAGGAAACAAACTGTATGCACAGATGTAATCAAAAAACACACTGGACAGTAAAACAATCAATGATATCCGTAAAGTTATTAAACTTCTGTTGCTTGCTGTTGCTTGCTGCGTGATTGGTGGATTTTGACATATCTGTCAATGTCATGTCAAAAATAACCAATCATGCAGCATTTGGACCTCGCGTCTACGTATTGCCATCTGGCGGATTTTTCAATCGCGAAAACCCTCATTGAAAGAAGTTTTTTATTTTCTTGAAAATAAACAATGGAACAATACGTAAGCATAATTGCATAAAAAAGTAAAATAATTTCGTTTAAATAAAACCGACGAAAAATTAAACTGACTCCGAAAAAGTAGGATACACTAAAAGTAGAAAAATAAAATTTTACGTTATCTCCAATATTGTCGAAGTTATCGCTGGAAAATTAAACAAAGTATCGTATATTTTTTATTTAAAATTAATCAGTAATCGGAATAAGTGAATACTAAAAATAATATCGATTAAATTGTCTATGACTCACAGGTTACAGCACTGATGTGTCAGAGACAAGTCATAGACAATATGGAGATAACACATGATTTTAAATGTCAAGTCAATTTGACAAGTCTCACAAATTTTCATCGTCCACGTATTTTGCTAAAATAATTTGTTTCAAAGATTGATTTTAAACTTGTATAAACATGAAAATAAAGTTGGTTTCATGGGCTTGTTAAATAATGTGTATGATATTATGAACACGTAAGTGATTATGGTGTAATTGTGTATGAAAGTGTCTGTTTACATCTCTGCTGGATTCTAAAAAATCAAGTTATAATTATTATGTGATAAGAAGTGGATAGTTATCATCATCTCAGCCATAGGACGTCCACTGCGGAACATAGGCCTCCCACAATGCTTTCCATGTTACCCGGTTGGTAGCGGCCTGCGTCCAGCGCTTTACCGCTACCTTTACAATGCAAATGTCGTCCGAGCTTCTTAAGAACTGAATTTGTCTTCTATTAGTCATGTATTTGTGATCGCTCGAAACAAATAGAGTGATTCCATATTTTTGCTCGCGAGTGTAGTTATTACGTGAATAGTGTCTAGTTATCATGTGAATAGTATTTAGTAATTATGTAAATAATTTCTAAGTGGTTACTCTGTGAATAGTGCCAAGTTATAATGTTAATAGTTTCTAATTAATATGACAATGTCTCTAGTTATTATAAAAGTATCTAACTGGCTAGTTGCTTTGTGAATAGTGTCTAGTTGCTTTGTGAATAGTGTCTAGTTGCTTTGTGAATAGTGTCTAGTTGCTTTGTGAATAGTGTCTAGTTGCTTTGTGAATAGTGTCTAGTTGCTTTGTGAATAGTGTCTAGTTGCTTTGTGAATAGTGTCTAGTTGCTATGTGAATAGTGTCCGGTTTCCTATTCCACTCACCGCAATGATCTTCTCCTTGATGCCTCCTACAGGCAACACCTGCCCTGTGAGCGATATTTCCCCGGTCATGGCGAGGTTGTCCCGCACAGAGCGGCGCGTGGCCAGCGATATGAGGGCAGTCGTGATGGTGCAACCAGCGGAGGGCCCGTCTTTGGGCGTCGCGCCTTCGGGCACGTGGAGGTGGATGTGGCTGGAAGGTGTGGGAGATTAGTGCCGGTTTTCACCATCAATGCCTAATTTTTAAGTGACCCCTGTGGCGTACACCTAACAGGAATTTTGTTGTCATAGGGGTCACTTAAAAATTAGGGATTGGTGGTGAAAACGGGCATAGGTCTTATGTTGTTGGGCTTTACGCTCGTATTCACAAACGATGCTTGCTTGAGTGAAGCAGCAAATCGAACGCACAGCGTTGAACAGAGCTCTGTGATTGATTCGGGTGTCACCCTGTGCGACCACGCGCACTGTGAGACCTCATTGTAATGTTTGTGAATACGGACGTTAGGCTGATCTTTGTTTACAGTTTTGAGGGTGTGATTGTCTGGAAATTTATTTAATAAGACTTCCAAAAGTCAATCACACAAAAGGGTAGTTGATATGAATAGAGGAAACGAAGATGTTGAGTTGAGTTGAGCATGAGCTCTCAAAACTAAATTTTAATTAAGTATCTATGACGTCACTGGTTCCTGAATTCGATTGATTATATTGAGGTGAGCGCAATGCACGCGAACCATGACGTCACCTAGGTGACCCGTGAGCTTCAGCGACCCGAACGGCGACTTGTCGTCAATCTCGGTTGCGTTTTATGGAGAGGGTCTCCAAAACGCTGTTAACGTATCTGACTCCGTCACTCTTGCTGGCTTCTGAGAGGGATGGCAACATTCGAAACTTTGGATAACGTTTTTCGAAGTATCCCTGCTGTAGCCAGCAATTAACTCTTCAAATGTATCCACCTACCTAGTATTGAGGAATCTATTATCAGGCTGTTTGCTCGCGAGGTAGTTGCGTGCGACAGTGAGAGCGATGCGCGCAGACTCCTTCATGACGTCACCGAGATGGCCGGTCAGCTCCAGAGACCCGAATGGCGACTTGTCGTCAGTTTCCGCGTTGCGTAGCGCCGTCTCGATGTATAGCGTGCTGCCGCCTGGTGGAAAGAGAGAGAAAATTGTTTTTGTAGGAACAAATAAAATACACTCAACATCAAATAAACCGCACCTTCCGCGACGCGAACTTTAAAGATTTTCTTCTGACAATATACCCCAACAATATTGGTGTTATTTGAAAGCCCAATAAATATCCTTAAAGAATAATTAACTTTTTTAAAAAATAAAACCGACTTCAAATGCGTGAACACAAAAAAAAAACTAAAAATTAAAAATATTGCGTATAAAAAAGTTCATCCCCAATTTTCCACCCTTGGGGGTGAAATATTTTCTTCAAATTCGCATGAAACCACCCTTTTGATAATACCTAATCAACAAAAAAATAATCGTTCAAATTGATTTATAATCGGCGGAGATATTGCGTATAAAAAAGTTCATCCCCAATTTTCCACCCTTGGGGGTTGTTTTTTCTATTATTAAATTTAAATGGGACCACCCTTGAGGTATTACCTATACGCCGAAAAAAGATTTGTTCAAATCGGTTCATAATTGGCGGAGTTATCGCGTAACAAACATAGAAAAAAAAAAAAAACATACGGGTCGAATTGAGAACCTCCTCCTTTTTTGAAGTCGGTTGAAAATACATTTCATTTCTAAATAAATGATTAACATTTACCATAAATATGACTTGAAAATAGACCTCACTTTGGGCTCACCTCTGGGATCAATTAGACCAATTTTTATGGTTATAAAACCAAATAAAGATCTCACGTGTCCTCTTTAACAGATGGATAGCGATTAATCCCAACTTAACAGTTTTATAGTCATAAAAAATGTCTATAGCGTAACTACCTATTTTTTTGAAGAAGTGACTCTGGATCCTTGTAAAGACACATTTTTGGGGTAAAAACCTTTCCTTTAATGAAATGAAGTTTAGAACTAGGCTTTCAAATGGTACCAACGTTGGTGGGAAGTGGGGATGCATAGGTACGTTTGATAAGTGCTTGTCGCGGGAGGTGCGATTTATTTGATGCCGAGTGTAGTTTTACTTTTTTTAATCTATTTCCGCAATAGAAATCATCACGTATCACATGACTTCATCGTGAAGTAAGCTTTTGCTACTATCATAAATACGTAGATAAAATAAATCGATTTTACGATGTCCTAAAGAAAAAAGAAAACAGGGTGAGCTATCAGACTCCTTTCCCCAGCAGCGATAAGCCAAATCAGCAACCGAATTGTGGGAGTAAGTAAGGGCTAAGGCAAAAGGATTGTAGTTCTCACCATATTTTTAACTTTATTTACTTGAATTAAGAAAGAAAGAGAGAAAAAATGTTTATTCAGTATCATCGACAATACACTTACAATACTTAAGGCCCAAAAACAAAGAAAATCTTATCTTGCGATATCTCTAGATTATAGTCTGGTCTGCGAGCACGTATAATTTTATCCAATGACCCCAAGCTACCCCAGCCTTATCGCTCGCGCGTAATTATATTGCTGTCGCGACTGTGCGACGGCCGCCCGCAGTGAGTGTGAGAGCGCGACAGCAATATAATTACGCGCGCGATAAGGATGGGTAGCTTGGGGTCATTGGACAAAATTCTATGTGCTCACAGACCGGGCTTTAGAAGAACGTTTAACTCACCCATGGCGGTCCAGGCCAGTCCCATGACGACTCCCGGGGGCGTGATCTCATACATGCGGTCGTGCTTGAACGTCGGCTTGCCCACCAGCTCCGTCAAGTTGTCGCCTGTCACCACCAGCTTATCTGTTTCTTGTTTGACTATCTTGTACGCTACTTTCCGCGCGATCTGTTGGACAACATCACTAATGAGTTCCGTATAGTTTAAGGTTATTTTATTTTAATCTTTATAGCCTGACCAGGAACATNTCGAAAAACTAGTTACTGATTCTGAAAGTGCTTAACGAGCTCTTTCAAATGGTACCAATAATAGGTTACAGATTATGGAAGCTGGTAACATTGAATTTTTGGATTTTGTAACTTCTCGTTTCCACCCTGTATAATTCGGCTGTATCTCCAGGTCACCTAGATACATTCCATAGCAGCTATTTAGGTACATACATTTACCAATTTTGGTGATAAATAGGCATTTTGTATTAGTTTTTGTATGACGCCTGAACAAAAACAAAGGGTAATAATTTGGTGTTATACATAGATTTCGAAAATAAAAAATATATAATTTAACTAATTAAGACATGACAAAAAAACTGAGATATGTCTCGTTTCTGTCGGGCCTGGGTCACAGATGACCGTTCTTCTTTCCAATTTAACACGAGTTTATTTATAGCTAAATCTCTTAATCCGAAGTAAATCCTTTTTTTAAGGTAGTACCTATTTGTACTGTAGTATTTGGTTGGCTTAAAAGCAAAAGTGTGTTTTATAGTTCGTAAATAGAACATTCAAGCAAGATGGCGGAAGCGGAAGTAAGATCGACTACGTAAGGGCCAACTAGATGTCACTACTAGTATAGAATATTATATTATAATGACGAACGGATTTCTCGGATCAAACTCCCCGGCGCGCCGGGTACGGGGCCCGTACCCCGCGATTCCCGACCAAACATTGGTGATTCTATATTAGTTTTCTAGTGGATACTTGGTTTTTGTTAAGCCTTAGTTAAAACTGCTTACTAATATTGTTTACGTAGACAGACCCAAGTCACGAACTATTTGACTCACTGATTATCGAAATCTCAGAAACTTCCAAAGGGGTGTAGGTAGACATCCGGTAAGGACGGATGTTATGAAACTCCACCTTTAAGGGGTTTAAACGAGGTTTGGAAGTTTGTATGAAAGTTTGTTAGATTTGGACGGGAATCCATCCATCCGGGTGAATCTACTGAGGCTGCAGCTGGTACTCCAGTATGTGGAAATAAAAATAATGATAAACCATTTTTTTGTTCTGATTAAGGTTAAAAAAATAGTACCTAAAGTTCGAATCGAGGCAAGATTTTGCTAATCTTGTGTGAAATAAGTCGTATAACTTCTCCATAAACCTCAAGAACTCGTAGAAAGCAAATAAAAAAATATTGTTATTGTCTTTGGATTGGACACACTCACTCATTCACCATTCATTCAATTAGTTCGTTTTTACGTCATTTTTTCAATTTCATTTTCTTTCTGTCTGTCTTTTCCATGAAGCTACAGATAAAAATGGAGGGCAAAGTTGGGAACAAAACTTGAGTCAAATACCTACTTATATCTATCTCGCTCTCTGTGGCTCTACCTCTCTTTTTAGTGTGAACTGTAGTATTGCTNGGGTTTTTATGTTCCTGGTCAGGCTATAATAACAAAATCTAATCAAATCACATTTCTATAATACATAATGTCAAGCTGTTTTTGGCACACATAAGCCAGTGGGTCTAGACAAAGTGCAAATTATAATCGCAAACCAGTCGAAAAGTGGTCGAAAAGCCCCTTTTTTGTATGGAGTTTTGACGGATTCGATTTTCGATTCGATCAAAAAGTGCGTTTTGTCTAGGGGGGCAGATTTCTAAATAATGATTTTTGACATGACATTGACAGATATGTCAAAATCCACCAATCATGCAGCATTTGGACGTCGCGTCTACGTATTGCCATCTGGCGGATTTTTCAATCGCGAAAACCCTCATTCTGAAAATTAAGCTGAATTTTCGAAATATCATACCTCAAATAAATAGGTTCTAAGCAAGCATGACCCATAACAAATTTGAACATAACTGACTATCAGGTGAGATTGAGTGATACATAAAATGAGTTTTCTTTAGCCTCAAGTAATTTAATTTCCACAACAGAAGAACGACCCTCTTTAATTTTACCAGAGGCAAATGTAGGATTTGTCATTTGGCCTACAGTCCCCACGCTGAGACGGGTTGGATTTTCCTGAAAAGATGTTGTTCCTGACAGAACACAGAAATTTCCACCTACCTTCTCGATGTGTTTCTGCAGGTTCCTGACGCCGCTCTCGCGGCAGTAAGACTTGATGAGCGCGTGGAGGGAGTCGGCAGTCAGATCGAGCTGCTCGTCAGTTAGACCGCAGTTCTTGCGAGCAGTCGGCACCAGATACTGTTGGGCTATGGCTAGCTTTTCTTCTGCTACGTAGCCTGGATGAATTTAAATAGTTTTTAATACTTATTTTAGAATCAAGTATCCTGGTTGCTGAGTATTTCTAACCACTAGAACATGGGCGCCTTCACATTAGAGGCGTAAGAAAGCGCCGCAGTGACGCCACTGTGACTTGCCACGCCACTTCTAGAAGCTCAAAAGCCGCACGTCTTTGCCACGGCAGTTTGAAGGCGCCCTAACGCCCGGTTCACACATGTCTCCGTTTTAGTGTTCCGTTTTATCGTGTACGTTTTTTTTTCGTCGATGGCGTATGTATAGCCTGACCAGGAACATAAAAACCCTCGCCATGTTGCGGAAAACTAATGGTACTAATTTCTTTTAATGGCAACAGTAACTGAAAACTTCATTGATATGTCACGTTGCATGTCAGTCTATTGTTGTCAAAGTGTAAACAAACTTTATTTTAAATGTGTGCAATTGATTTTCTGAATTAAATTGCTAAAATATTTTTATAGTCGTGAAAGAAAAGTGGTTCACGATGTGTTAATGTATTTGTCGAAGAGAAATACTAAGGGTTCGGACAATATTTTCATTGAATAATGTTTCCGACAAAGGTTGTCAAATTGACTGACATGTTTATCGTATGGTACAGTCCACTATGAAAATTAGCTGTAGTCTGTTTCAACTACCTATTTTAAAGTTTTTTTGTCACTTTCTAAGTTTTGAATTTTATGGAATTGGGAAAGAAGTACCGAGTTTGAAGCGTTCATGAGCAGACATTGCAGTTGAATATTCATGTTCTGAATTTGATTATTGATGAATAATAAAATAAATCCTACTAGCTCGATTGATGGTTTAATTTAATTTATTTAAACCAGGTTATCTTTAATAATATTTTTCGTTAATTTATGAAAATATCAAATTAGCCCGTAATCCTAAATCCTGATACATAAATTTAGCCTATTAATTTAATACATGTACAACTGTACTCAGTGTTGCACTATCAAATGCAATTGAAGCGCCTCTGTGCCAGGGTTTTTATGTTCCTGGTCAGGCTATAGTTGTATGAGCGACTTCACACATGACACAGTATTCTGTATACAGTAATACATACAAAAAACGTACACGATAAAACGGAACAGTAAAACGGAGACATGTGTGAACCGGCCGTAAGACATACTGGTACTGCACAATTGATATCGGTATACTATAAATTAGTGTCCGACCGAATGTTCGGTTTCGGTTTCGTTTTCGGTTGAGTTTCGGTAAAAATACGAGTTTCGGTTTAGTTTCGTTTTCGGTGGCAAACTTGCCGAAACTACGACCGAAACCGAATGTGCATTCGGGAGTTTCCGCGCTGTTATCGGTCATGTTCGGCGCGTTGAATGAGGAATGAATCCGATCCCGATCAGAGCCAATGTCGTGATTCGCTCGCTTGTTTGTTTGCTGTTAGTTTTGTTTTGTTGTGGTGGCGAATTTTCGAGTGATTTATTTTGAATTTGGTAAGTTTTATGTCGTTACAACAAGAGCGGGTAGTAAACATCAAAAAAAAAAATTCAATATGATTGATAAAAGTATAATCAAGTTTAATCTAACCTATACATTTTTTTGGTTCGCAAATGCTATACGTAAACAAACATTAGTTAGGTAGTTAGTTATGACTATAGTGCATTTCATGGTGATAATATTATGGATTCAGTGTTTTAAAGTTCATTTTAGTATTTATCACCAAGGTATCCAAGTGGCAAATACAGTAGATACGAACTTACGTACCTACTACCAATTTTGTATTGAGAAATTATTAAGGTAAAAGACCCGACCATGGGACGGGTTATGTAGATGTCCTGAATATTGCGAGTAATTAAAAAAAATCTAGACTTTTCTTTTTTAATAGGTACATAATTTGATACCTTTTAGAGTAAAAAGGCGCTTTCGTTCGTTTCAGCCAAAAGACGTCCACTGCTGGACAAAGGCCTCTCCCAAGGATTTCCACGAAGACCGATCCTGCGCCGCTCGCATCTAGGCACCTCCCATGACCTTCACCAGATCGTCGGTCCACCTAGTGGAAGAACTTTCCTGCCCCAGCGGACATCAGCTCTACGAGCTATGTGCCCCGCCCACTGTCACTTTATTTTAGCGATTCGAAAAGGCGCTTTATAAGTTCAATTTTAATGCAATTGAAAGAGAAAATAATAAAGACTGACTGATTATAATAACGTTTTCTTTATTTTTCCCTCAAAATATGAGCCTTGTAAGGAAGTTTCGGTTTCGGTTTTGGTTTCGGCCGAAACAGACACCGTTGCCGAAATTCGTTTTCGGTTTCGGTTTCGGTCGTAAAACTAGTTTCGGTCGGACACTACTATAAATAAAAGCGTTTCCTTTTCAAGTGAGCGTAGTTTTGGGGCGATACTGGTTGTATGTCTAAAAAGTCCTACAGAAATGCCGGAGAAAATTACTGTATGTTCTGTACCTACATTTTCCCTGTATTACACTCACCGGACATGTCGATGAGTTCCATACGATCGCGGAGTGGCTCGGGAATATGTTCAACGACGTTGGCGGTGCAGATGAACAGTACCTTTTGAAAGAAGAGTACAAAACAATACATGTTAGGTTAAATATCGCTAGTCGTGCCAGAGTAATAATGAAGCTCTATTTCTATAAAATTAAATCAAGAGGGATAAGCAACCAATGGTGAGCAGGGAACCAGCTTAAATTTCCTTCCGTACGTGAAAGGGGTAACGGATAAAATTGGAACAGTACTCAACAAATACTCCATTAAGACTGTATATAGCCCGTTGTCAAAAGTAACGAAGGAAATTCGCTCGCCAAAGGATATTATACCTCTTCAGACGCCGGGTGTCTATAAGATCGATTGCAGCTGTGGTAATTCTTATATAGGACAAACTAAGCGGTCTATAGCTGAAAGAGTCAAAGAACACATAGCGGCTGTAAAGAACCGACAGACGTGCAAATCTGCGATAGCTGAACATCTGTTAACTTCGGACGTTAATCACTGGATGGAACTTCATGACCCGAAAATCCTCTCAACTGATAGGCATTACCATGTTAGGTTGATACGTGAAGCCATTGAAATTAAAAAGCATAAGAATTTCAATCGAGAAGATGGATTTAACCTATCATCAGCGTGGAATCCGGTGATAACGAAGTACAAATCGCGTTCTAGGCCGTCTCAGAGAGACCCGGACACTGTTAGTGTAGTTTGTCGGACTGACTGTACCACTGACGAAAATATTGTGCAAAGGCGGGTGGGTGAAGAAAACTCATCGCGCCGGAGCAGACGACGCCGCATCTCTTCAGTCTGCCCGCGACCATGACTCGTGCAACCGAATAGTGTAATTGGTACTACCGTTCTATTCATAAATAAATAAATAGGGCTCAAAGCTTTATACACTCACCTTGGACAAATCGACTGGCACATCTAAGTAGTGGTCCAGGAAATTGGCATTCTGCTCGGGGTCTAACAATTCCAGTAGCGCGGAAGCCGGGTCACCGTGCACGCCCCTGTGAATCAACAATTCATATCTTACACAGAGTACAGTCGATAGCACAGGCACTCATGCTCAATGCACCAGCTTGCTGGGAATAGCGAATCTATACTAATATTATAAAGAGGAAAGATTTGTACCTATTTTTGTATGTTTGTAATGAATAGGCTAAAAAAGTACTGGGCCGATTTAAAAAATTCTTTCACCATTCGAAAGCTACATTATCCACGACTAACATAGGCTAAATTTTATTTTGGAAAAACATAGGGAAAGCTAGTATAATATAAATATGTACACAAAAAGAAAAGTTCTCGAGCGGCGATCATGAGGCGGAAGACGTAGTGTGGGCAGGACTGCCACTAGGTGGACTGACGATCTGGTGAAAATAGCGGGAAGCACCTTGTGGAAATAATTGGGAGAGGTTTTTGTCAATGGATACATCAGAAAAAAATAATCAAGATATTTACACTCACTTGCCAATCTTGTCGACCTCGTCAATAAGCACGAGCGGGTTCTCCGTATTAGTCTTCTTGAGGCACTGCACCAGCTTGCCGGGCATGGCGCCGACGTAAACCTAAACAGTACTTACTTGCCAATCTTGTCGACCTAGTCAATCAGCACGAACTAAGACCATCTTGAGGCACTAGCAGCTTGCCGGGCATGGATAATATGCAGTACCCCGAAACACTTTTTATGTAGTTACAGGTCTATCTGTCACCATCGCGCATACTAGCATTTAGCTTTGCGTGAGAGGGATGGCAGCATTCGAAACTTCGGATAACGTTTTTCGGAGTAACTCCTAAATCTATGGGAACTGCTGTTTTATGACGTCAAAGGTCAGCGACTAATGTGCTTCAGGTTTGTATGCCATATGTCACGGCTGCCATACTGCTCTTATACCTCAGGCATTGACTCAGGCTGGACCTATAATACCGTACTCACTTGCCAATCTTGTCGACCTCATCAATCTGTCACTGTCGCGCATGGTGGCATCTCGCTTTGCGTAAGAGAGACGGCCATGGCAACTTTCGAAACTTCGGATAACGTTTTTCGGAGTAACCCCGATAGCGTAACTATAAAATATATCATCAATATGTCACAGTCACTTGCCAATCTTGTCTACCCGTCAATCTGTCACTGTCGCGCATGGTGGTATATTTAGCTTTGCGTGAGAGGGATGGCAGCATTCGAAACTTCGGATAACGTTTTTCGGAGTAACTGTCAGCGACTAATGTAGGTACTCAGTACTCACTTGCCAATCTTGTCGACCTCGTCAATAAGCACGAGCGGGTTCTCCGTGTTGGTCTTCTTGAGGCACTGCACCAGCTTGCCGGGCATGGCGCCGACGTAGGTGCGGCGGTGGCCCTTTATCTCGGCCACGTCCGTCATGCCGCCGACGGAGAAACGGAAGTATTGACGGTTGAGCGCGCGAGCGATGGAACGCGCTGGAAACATGTTCGATTTGATGAAACTTATCATACTTAGAATTTTTAAGCGACTTCCTATGAAAATAAAATTCCTATTATGTGTTACCATAGGGGTCACTTAATTTGGGATTGATTGTGAAAACGGGCATTAAAAGCTTAATTAGTTTTCAATCAACAGTAAGCAGACATACAAAATCTATGAGGGAATCGCCTTTTTTCACAAAAAGGAAATACGTCACCGAGTAATTTTTAGGTAGGTACTATTACTATACTACTTTATAATGACGAATACACCCTTATCGATGAGACAAGTGCCAAACTCATCATCACTCAAAATGTGCTGCTTGTTTTCAGCACATTATTTCCTGAATGTAAAAAAAATATAGAACTCTTTAAAAGTCAATTTACTGTGTCAGTATTTTTAAGAAGATTACTTTAAAAAGTTCTTCCAACAATAATATGAATCAATTTCACTTTTTCGTAATTAAAGCCTGGTCCGTGAGCACGTAGAATTTTGTCCAATGACCCCAAGCTACCCATCCTTATCGCTCGCGTGTAATTATATTGCTGTCGCGACTGTGCGACGAGCACCCGCAGTGAGTGTGTCATAAATCTTACCTATACTAGTTTTCCCCACTCCGGGCGGTCCATGGAAGCACAGGATCTTGCCCTGCGTGGTGCCTTTCAGCTGCGACACCGCTATGAACTCCAGGATCCTCTTCTTGATGTCTTCCATGCCGTAGTGGTCCTCATCTAAGATTACTTGTGCATCTTCCAACTTGAGGTTTTCTTCGGAGGTGATGCCCCATGGGAGGGATGTCAGCCAGTCGAGGTAGCAACGTGTAACGCTGAGTAGAAGGAATTAGTGAGAATTAGAAATAAGCGGGCATAATTTGTACGTTAAGCTGCCAGTAGGTATTTATGATAAGGCCTGAGCCAGTGGTTTATAAAACATATGACGTATAGGGTCTAAAATGGATCCTTGGGGAACACCAACGGTATTTCACATTTTGAGTGATAATTCATTTTTACCATTTGGCTTGTTTTTTGAAATTTCAATAAATGTTATTACAGTTATCACTGATTTCTACCCTCACCATGTTATAGAGCAAATGAAGGTTAGATACATTGTCAAAAGCTTTGAATAAAGTGCTTAGAACATATTCAACTAATAAAGATACTAGAAGAGATCACGAGAGTTATCGAAGAGAGAGACGATAAACGAAATAGCAATTTGTATTCAACAAAGATGAAGGAAGTTGCATTGGTTTGAAGATACTTACTTGAACTCTGAGCTGTGGCTCTCGAGGAAGTTGAGTTTGTTGAGCTCCTCATCGATGACGGTCTGCACGGCGGCCGGCACGGTCTTATCGGCGAGCCGCTCGCGGAACTTCTCGCCTATCGCGTCTTTGTCGTCTTTTTCTAGGCCTAACTCTTTTTTTATCACCTACAAGAAATATTGTAAATTAGAGTTAACTGTTTGGCGAAAGATAAAAAGAGTGGGGACATTTTGAGCCACTCTGTTCAATTGTTGTCTTCTCTTTATTTGGAACTATTCCATTTTGATAAATGTGACATTGAAGTGATTAGTCTTGTTGATGGAAAAATGAAAAGTATTGGGCATTTTCTGATCAAATCTTTATTTAGTGCTTTTCGTTTATTTTTGCCTATTTAACTTCTCTAATACTATGACCTATGGCTGAGATGATGATGATGATGAACTTCTCTAATGGTATGTAAAATTGAAAATATCTAAAACTACTTGTTGAAACCTCATGAAAATATGTCAATGCCTAAATCATCAAATTACCTTGAGCTGTTCATGCAGTATGTACTTTCTGTGTTGCTGCTTGACTTTTTCTTCTACTTCTTTGCCTATCTTCTGTTGCAGTTTCGATAGTTCGTACTCTTTCTTCAGAAGGGAAAGAGACATCATCAGTCTTTTTGGAATCTGTAAAAAGATAATCATACAAGATAAGATTATTGGTATTTTTACGATTGTTATTGGAATTGCCATTAGAGTGATGATTATAATCTTCTATCACCAGCACTTTTTTTAGTTTCAGACATGATAGTGTAGTATTTTTTATACTTACGTCCATCTCTTCGAGAATAGCCTGCAGTTCTGTGGTTTCAGCGCCAGTAAGCGCGGCGCCCAGGTCGCTAAGGTACACCGGATTGTCTACTACCCTCTGACCTTGAGCCAGCATGTGGTGGAGAGATTCTCTGAAAGAAAATTGCAATATTTGACGAAGTTCACACATCATTGGCAAAGGCTCTTAGCAGTTTGCCATGAGAATTAAAGCATAAAGTGTGCTTAGTAATTTCAACACAGTAAATCGATATTCTCACCTGTACAAAGGATTTAAGTTAATGATATCCCTAATAGTCTTAATGACCTCCTGTGTCAGTGCCTTCACCTCTTCCGTTTGCTGGAACTTCTCGTGCATCATATTCTCAACTTTCACCATCATGACTTGATCGGGGGCAGCTTTCTCTTTCTTTTCCGGCTTCTCCTTCTGTTCGGGCTCGGGCTCCGCCTTCTGTTTGCGCGTGTTGCGATACTTGCGCCGGCGCCGCTCGGCGTCTGACTCTTCACGCGCAACGTTAAACTCCATGTTAAAAAGTGGGAACTTCAACTTCATTTCTGAAATGATTATCGTATCATTTCAGAAGTGAAGGAAGGTATAAATGTGGTGGTGGCCTAGTTATGAAATGAATTGCATGAATTTGGAAGACATGCATACAACATTTTGAACAATGCATAGGTGTGAGTGTAGTGTTACATGCATACAAATTACAATAATTAGCTTTTATCTATGGTCAAAAAGACATTGCATGCAAATGTAACATTAATCTGCACTGACTTATACTAGGTTTGCTTCAGAGAATCAAGAAAAAAATAAGCAGATTTGGGTGATACAATATCTTAAGATCATATTCACACCCTAATACTTTTTTATTACTTTCGTGATAATGTAGCAACTTATCGATCAGCATTTAATCTTACCAGCAGGTCCAGTCTCAATTTCATCCTCAATGAACTGCCCAGTGATCTTTATCCTCCGGTGAGCCATCACCACCAAACGTAACTTGTAGTCCATGTCCTGCATTTCGTGGATTTGGGCGAACACACCCACTTGGTGCAGGTCGTCCAGGTTTGACACAACGTCGGACTTCTCATCCTCTTTCTTACGTAAGAAGATCCCAACATAAGGTTGATTAAGCTTCACTTTTCTTCTTATGAGGTCAATTAAAGCTGGGTTTGAAATCTGAAAAGCAGGAATAATGATTTACTAAAATATTTGTAAGTGATAAATTATATTCTGTGTAAAAGCACTTTTTTAAAAGCTATTTGCAAAAATAAATGAATTTTATGAATTTTTAATTTTTATTTGTACTTAAACTATATTCTCATACCTTCTATAGAACAAAATGTTGGAACAAGTTGATAATGTTACCAAATGCTAGAGTAAGACCTGCTTGTCTTAAACTAGCAGTTGGTTTGGTAACATTTTAGTTGGGTTTTTGTTTTACAGCAGAAGAAACACAATAACTTTATTAAAGGAAGAGAACATTTTAGATATAAACAGAAGTATCTAATTTCTGATTAGTTTTACAGATTGATTCCCCAATCAATAGACTTACCTCAATCAATTTGATGAATCTGGGGAACACTGGGTTCCTGTTGATGGCGATAACTGGCACCTGCGGCCACACCTCGGGCACGGCCACCGTGGCCGGCAGCTGGCTCGAGAAAAGCGGAGTCTCATCCTTCACCTCAGGATCCTCTTCAGGCGGGTCATTCTTATTGTTCGTCGAAAATAACCTCGTACTCCCAACTTCTCGCGACCCCGACAAAAAACTACCACTGTAACTGCAAATCCGTTGCTCCCGGCCATAAATGCTGGACCCCCCACTCAATATCTTCCTCTGAACGTCCACCGGCTTCTTGTGTGATGCAACTTTTGCAACATTACGAGCAAGTCTCGATGACTTCAACTTCGGGTTGAAGAATAACGTGTTCCTCAATAAAGCGTTCGCAGAATGCATTGCTAATTATTTGTTGTTACTCCCTACGGTTTTAAATGCCAAAGTCCATTGATAAATTAAAGTTTTTAACTGTAAAAAGGTTATTTTTCCAGATTCTTCAAGATATTGAGGCGACTGACAGTGACATACTTTTGACACTAATGACATTTATAGTGCTTGCATGATTCCTAGGGAGTGTTAGTACATAGCTCAATAAACTGAGCTCAAAACTGGTTGCCCCTCTGTTTCCGAACGAAGTCTTGTTGTGTCTTTTTTTTTTTTATATCTGATTGTCACTGTCAAAATTGACAAGTGTTAAATGCATGTTGATGCAAAATCGGTGCAATTTTTCTCCTATTTGTATGGAAACTAAAATTTTATGTTCTTGAGAAGGAAAACAACAATCTTTTATGTGTTCAGACATGTATGTATGGCTATTTATTTACATTTAATCCCTATAATCTCATTACATATACCTAACCTAAAATAAATTGTTACAGCTTGTTTTTAATAAGTTTCACATTCTTTTTTTGCCAACAGTGGCACCAAAATCGCCTGCTTACCACGATTTTAGTCGTTATCATTATGATAACATGTTAACAACGACGATATGTGTGATATCAGAAGTTCTATCCATGTAAACATAACACTTATTTTTTCAATTATAGATAGTTAAAACTATGGAAACTTCAGCTACTGAGCAAGTCACACTTAAAAAAATAATCGAGGGTCCTGCCGAAATACACCTTGTGTCAGACGGAGTGTTTTATAACCCGGTACAAGAGTTCAACCGGGACCTCAGTATAGCAGTGCTGAATGTATTTTTAGATGAATATATTGCTGAAAAAACAGAGCTTTTTAAGAAAAGAAATAAGAATAAAAATGAAGGTGAAGATAGCCAACCTCAGGTGAGGAGTTAAACATTTCAACTTTTTAATTTTTAGGTTATTATTTTCTGTTTATTATTTGTTTTCTCTACTCAAATTATTAAGTAGTAAAACTTAATCAAAAGTTATATTTTATTGATGCCTGATTTTTCATCTGCTTTGTAGATTGAAGTAAACCTGCTAGAAGCTTTAGCGGCCACAGGGTTACGAAGTATTCGGTACGCTAAAGAGGTGCCCAAGCTCAGCAAGATAGTAGCCAATGACCTCAGCAAGACAGCTGTTGAGACTATGAAAGTCAACTTTGAAAAAAACCTGGTGGCTGATAAAGTGGAACCAAGTCTAGATGATGCTTGGTAAGTTTCACATACTATGAAAATTCCTTTCTATTTTTTTTGTAAAAAATGTTTAATGCCTTGCTGATAGGGTTTTTTCTTCTTACCTTTCATAATTAGTTTTAACTTTTTTTGGGTTATGCTGTAACCATGTGGGTGTGTAGTGTAGTACTAAACTTCTTTGGTTCAAATAAACATTTTTTTATGTTCTTCTGTTGTCCATGTGTATTCCAAATTGTACTTCTATTTCTGCTACAAGAATAAATAAAAATAAAACAAAATGAAAATAACATAAGTATTGTGTTTATTAGATTTTTTCACTATAGTTTCAACAATGTGATATTTGGACTGTTTTAACAAGTTATTTGACACTAGGATTGTAACAATAGAAGAAGTTTTTGTAAAGCATAATCATGGTTGTCAACCGACTTCAAAAAAGGAGGAGGTTCTCATCTGGAATAAACCACTTCATAACAATAAGATTGCCTAAATAGTGGCAACTCTTGTGTATTTTTCTTTCTTTTCTTGTTTTGTGTGGCATACAAAGTGTTTTGTCTATCTATAATTCCAGCATGCTAATGTACAAACACAAGCACCCATCCTCGCGCTTCGCCGCCATCGACTTGGACCCGTACGGCTGCCCGTCTCCCTTCTTAGACGCGGCAGTTCAGAGCGTGCAAGATGGCGGTCTGCTTTTGGTGACGGCGACGGATATGGCCGTCCTGGCCGGCAACTCGCCTGAGACATGCTACAGTAAATACGGTGCTATTAGCTTGAAGACGAAATGCTGCCATGAGATGGTGAGCTATATGATAAACATAAATATTTATTGTTCCATTTATTTAGCTAAGTTCATGTGTTTTTATATTGTGTAAAGCACAAATCCCAACTTCCCAACTAATATTATAAATGCGAAAGTAACTCTGTCTGTCTGTCTGTCTGTCTGTCTGTTACGCTTTCCCGCTTAAACCTCGCAACCGATTTTGATGAAATTTGGCATAGAGATAGTTTGAGTCCCGGGAAAGAACATAGGATAGTTTTTATCCCGGTTTTTGAAACAGGGACGCGCCCGATAGTTTTTCTGTGACAGACAAAATTCCACGCGGGCGAAGCCGCGGGCGGAAAGCTAGTTAAATTATATTTGGATGGTGCCTCTTAGTCAATAAAAATTAGTTAATTGTTAAAACTAGGTATCTAGCAAGTAAATATTTGAGATAAAAATATTTTAAGTTATGGCATCATCCTACCAATTCTCAATACTCAATACTCAAATCTTTATTGCATTATGTGAGGCATCAAATGAACGGGAGAATTGGTAGGATTTATTTATTTAAAAAATAGTATTGGTCCTGTATTCTAGACCAGGGGGGCTATTCCGAAAAATATATCCGAAGTTTCGAATGCTGCCATCCCTCTCACGCATAGCGAGATGCCAGCATGAGCGACGGTGACAGATAGACCCGAAACTACGTAAACAGCGTTTCGGAGTAGCCCACCAGATATCATTAAATTGCCCACCAGATATCATTGCAGTGGCCTAAAAGACCTGATAATGATGATTCCAGGCGTTAAGAATACTGCTGCAGTGCATAGAGTCTCATGCGAACCGGTACAGCCGCTACATAGAGCCGCTGCTCAGTATATCCGCGGACTTCTACATACGAGTGTTCGTCAAGGTGCACACTGGAGCTCTGCAATGCAAACAGACCACTAGGTTCGAATGTTTTAACATTTTCGTCGATATAATATTGTTGTGATCGTAACGCTGCATGTCCACGGGAGCGGAGCGGTAAGCAAGGTAAAAATCCACCAATAGAGTTGCCTAAAATCTATCTTCTCTTTAGTGCAGTGTTTTTCAACCTGTGGGAAAGCCTCTATAGGGGAGTCAAGAGAGGTCGTAAAAACTACCTCAGTAAAAAAAAACAGTAAAGTTTTAAAGCTAGATTTATCCGAAATCTAATTATGCAAATGCATAAATGTTGTATAGATTGAAGAATTCGGTCCCTGCAACATCTTCGTAAAAGGCATGAAAAAAAGCGAAGGGTCGGGGGGTCGCAAAAATTTTTTTCATGCTAGGGGGGTCGCGTAATGAAAAAGGTTGAAAAACACTGTCCACTATCCACTAAAGTTTAGTGGATAGGGAGGGAGTTCCGAACTGGTAACAGGTTGGACGCCACGCGGCTCAACAGTAAAACAAAACTCGTAATACTCATTTTATTTATGCAAGCAGGATTTTAAAACAATTCAAACAGCTCGTAGCTCGCTCCGCTTCAGTGGACAGGCCGCCTATCAATTTTTAAGATAAATTAACACAAGCAAAACAATATTTTTCTCTCTATCATTTAAATTAAAATGAACAGAACAAAACTAAAAGTATCCTTTCCAACAGCAAGCTAGGTATGGTGTACCACTGCAAAGGCTGCGACAACATTACACTGCAACCGCTAGGGGACTTCAAACCCAACCCTACAGAGAAGCGGCCCGATCAGCAAAAAGCCGTGCTACCACCCGCGCCTACCGTGGGTGCCCACTGTGAGAACTGCAACCAGAGGCACAGTGTGAGTCATTAATATTTCAGCATAATACTGCTGCTCGTATTATGCCTCCTAAGGAGAAGCACAAAAAAATCTCCTGCTTATTTCATCCAGTTACTGTCAGATTTTTTTTTTATGGTCAGTGCATCATGATTAATGTTAGAGTGTTTTTCAATGTGTAAGTACGACCGACTCAAAACCACTTTAGCTTACTACATTCTTGAACTAAACCCACTGCTTTCCGCGACATACATCACAAAAGGTCTTATGGCTGTTTTCACCATCAATTCCTAATATTTAAGTGACCCTTATGAACAGGAATGACACATAACAGGAATTTTGTTTTCAAACACACACTACACGGTTTTTAAGTGTATACGGTACACTTAAAAATTAGGGATTTATAGTGAAAACGAGCATTAGTGATATTATCTTGTATTATTTTTGTAAAGATTTTGTCCCAGTCTCCCATTCCCATACAAGTTTTAATTTACTATTTCTTTCCCAGTTAGGAGGCCCAGTGTGGGCAGCGCCGATCCACAGCGAGCGATTCGTCACGGACGTCCTGACTCGCGTGGAGACCGACGACACCCTCGCACTGCGCACTAGTAACAGGATACTCGGCGTACTGTCTATGGTCCGCGAGGAGCTGCACGACGCGCCCTTCTACCACGCGCTGGACAAGATGTGCGGCCGCGTGCACGTCACCTGCATGCCCGCGCTGCTCATGCGGTCAGTAGCGCACAGTGGCCCCCGGGTGACCCACCCTAGCGCTGCCATCGCAGCCGGACACTCGGCGTACTGTCTATGGTCCGCGAGGAGCTGCACGACGCGCCCTTCTACCACGCGCTGGACAAGATGTGCGGCCGCGTGCACGTCACCTGCATGCCCGCGCTGCTCATGCGGTCAGTAGCGCACAGTGGCCCCCGGGTGACCCACCCTAGCGCTGCCATCGCAGCCGGACACTCGGCGTACTGTCTATGGTCCGCGAGTACAGTGTCCCTCGGGAGTGGCCCATGCGGTCAGTAGGGGCACAGTGTCCCTCGGGAGTGACCCATGCGATCAGTAGGGGCACAGTGTCCCCTGGGGAGTGATCCATGCGGACAGTAGGGGCACAGTGTCCCCCGGGGAGTGACCCATGCGGTCAGTAGGGGCACAGTGTCCCGTTAGGGAGTGACCCATCAGGGAGTGACCCATGCGGACAGTAGGGGCACAGTGTCCCCCGGGGAGTGACCCATGCGGTCAGTAGGGGTACAGTGTCCCCCGGAGAGTGACCCATGCGGTCAGTAGGGGCACAGTGTCCCCCAGGGAGTGACCCATGCGGACAGTAGGGGCACAGTGTCCCCCGGGGAGTGACCCATGCGGTCAGTAGGGGTACAGTGTCCCCCGGAGAGTGACCCATGCGGTCAGTAGGGCTATTACGTTAAAGAGGTTTTGAGTTAGAGAAGGGTCTAAAGTGGCACCAAATGGTTCGTGTAATATTACACTCGGCGCTGGCTAGCCAGTTCCTTTGTTGAACTTGGCTTGACACGCGTCCGCGTGTCTAGATTAAACTATACTCCATTCGTATGTTCGACATAACAGTTTATATTCTAAAATGGCCATAACTTCCCTCCAGGTCAGCGATCCTGAACGCCGGCTACAAGGTGTCGTATTCACACGCGTCGAAGCTGTCCGTCAAAAGTCCCGCGCCCGCGCCTCTATTGTGGGACATTATCCGTGCCTGGGCGAAGGAACACCCCGTCAACCCCAAGAGGTGAGTTGGGGACAGACTGGGAGCACCCTATCAATTGTAAAGCCCGGTTTTCACCAAATTGGAGAGGTGAGTGAATAACCAATCAGATTTCGTTAGACTTGCTGAGTTTCGGTACGGAAATCTGACTGGTTATCCAAACATTTCTCTTCTCCTCTTTGGTGGAAACCTAAGAGGTCAACAGATGTTGTGCTTTGCACCGCATTGGGAGCAAGTAACGGAATGACGTGACCCCGATTCACGTCACATTCATTAATTACGTTTTTATTTATTTAAAGAATAGTCCGATTACGTAATTTTTATGGAAAAAGAGTTCAAACTAAGAAACTCGATATTGTCAGGACAAAAGAAACGACATAGAGGTCTATCCCTGTAGTTTTGTAAAAAATATTTCAAACTGGCGACACTAAATTTTTTATCAGCCAACCCAATTCCTTTTTTCAGAGTGGAAGCTGACCCAATAGCGAAGCACATCCTGTCTCATGAAATAACGCACACCATAGACTTCAGCGAGCGGCCCGATGCTAACCCTTGCAGCAGACGGGATGGTCGCCTGCGTTTCCAGTTTAACCCTGAACCGCATTGGGGGCCAGGTTCCCGCGCTGTCATCAAGTAAGTAAACCCCACGCTGTACAAAATGGCGTCTAATGTCATTCCTATACAGGCATTTTTCCACAAAAATATTGTCCAACTACAACGAACCGTCCCATCGGTGACATTGACAGGGGGCGTCACCGTCAATATCGGATCGCTGGTTCCGATTTTTGGCATGTTGGAAACTATGTAGTTGAACGATTGTAGTTGAACGATGGTGGCGCCGCCCTGTCAATGAGTTTGGTGGGACAGTTCAGTGTAGGTCATCTCTATGTATTGGCATGTGCTGTTGTCTTTAAATAATATACCCAGGATTTAAATTAATCTTATTATACCCTCTTTTTATCTTCCAGTACCGGAGACAACAGGATGGAAAAAGCGAAACGCAACCAAAATAAATATACAAAAGATAAAGTTGCAAAGCGACAGCATTCGGAGAGTGATGAGGAAACTAGGAAGAAATGTAATGTTGACGATGAGAACAATGTGTAAAATAAATGTGAATATCGACATGTTGAGTATGATTTTTACCCATTTTTGCCCCATATAATAATATTTATGATACAGTTGTAATCAAAAGTTAGTAGCCAAGGTTTTATGTTAAGGTCGAGAGAAAGTAACATAGGTGGGCGAAGCCACTAAATTATGCCTAAATCATAAGCTCTCAGAATAGAATCTGATTTTGCTTGCTAAAATTACAAATTCGCAAGACAAAAAGATAAACTTCAAGTTTAATAAGATAAAAACAAAGCCCTTCTAGCGCAGTGGAAAGGCCACTTAAAAAAAATAGAAGGTAATTTATTTCTGAACGTTCCTATTTCCAATGACAGCAGTCAAAACTGACACACGAATTTTTGAACGCGACCTAATTATGCGCCCAAATTCAAGAGGTTACGGCGTATTGAAGTAACTTGTTCTGTTTCATCATTAATACTGCCGTCCGATCACTATAACGCCGTTAAGTGCAAAAACCACTTTCGGAGAAAAACGAGTTTAAAGATCGCGAATTAAAAAAAATTCGCTGTTTCAAAAGTAAAAGAGTAATTTGTAATTTAAATATATCATTTTAAAGGTATTTTTAAGAGCTACAATTGACACAAACTCTCACGACGCTACATATTATAGATTTTGAAATATTTTAATTTATACATTTTAACTCAGTATTATTGAAATAATATCTCAAAATATACACAACTAAAACGCCGGTATGGCTACCTTAACGGCGTTTAAGTTTTGGATCTTGAATAACTTTGATACATTTGTAAAATGAGTTTCTAACTAATAATTCTACTAAACTTTAATGCCGTTAAATAGTTTAACGACGTTTTAGCTCGGTAAAACTATTATTTTTTAACGTGAAAATACTTGCCTTAAATGCAGCTAATGTTAGCTAACGTCATTTAAGTCTAGTATTAACACATAAATTACGAAACTATTGGTATGCCTGTTTGATTCGTTTTGATTACAAGACTAAAATGCAGTTAAAAACAAAACTTTTCACCATAACGGCATTTAAGCTAAGTACTAGCTACTTAGTAGTTCAGGAAATAAAGAAAATTGCATTTATGTCAAAAATAACAAAACCTGTTTTAGTGTTGAACATCTATATTTATGTAAAAAAAATCAACTTTTTACTATTTATAGCATTCGTTGATATCAATCATACGTTTTATTATAATAATTTCTTAAATTTACCACTTTAAAAAAGTAGATACTCATAAAAGACAACACAAAATAAAATCTTTACATTTTCATTACCTATTTGAGATCAATTAAAACCAACTATTGAAAGTTCTCAAACTTAGCAGTTTCACAATACCTAATAAAAATAATAAGTGACGACACTTTATTACCAATGCCGCAATATTTATATTATTTTGCCTGTTTCAGTAGGCTACAACTACAATATTTTGTAGTTAATAAAAATTAAGATCTATTTATTTAATTCAATAATAATGTACAACGCGGCAAGCCTTACCTAATAAATGAACTTCACGCTGCTTATAATAATCATCTAGTTAGTGAGAATGGTGAGAATCATGTTTATCAAATGGAAATAAACAACAATTCTTAAGTAAAATAGTATCAAATTAAGTCGACATAATATAAGTGTATATTAAACAATACACTCTATTTGCAGTATTGTCGAGAATATTATTCTCGAGAACTTTCACAATAACATTCTCAATAACACCTTTACTAAATTTATTTTTTTCTTCGTGAAATGTTGTTTTAATGACAGAAATGTCTTTTTACACGTAATTACATAATGTTACTGTCCATTTGTTCGTTTTTTGACATTAAGGGCATATTTCACAATCGCTTAGTAAGGGCCTGTTTCACGACTTCTGGATAAGTTGTGGATAGCCTATGTGACGGATCATTTTGACACATTTTTATAGAAAATACGTGCTAGCTAGATTGACCCGACACTTGCCAAATATATCCCGTATATTAGTCTGTTGTACGAGATTAGAATGGTTCTCAAACAGCTAAAAATCAACAAGGCACCTGGTGATGATGTAATCACAGCTGAGCTTCTGAAAGCAGGCGGAACGCCGGTACAAGGCTTTTCATAAGCTGTTTGATTCCGTCATCCTCAAGAGAAAAACGCCTACGGCCATTGCAAAGAAGTATGGTGGTACTCCTCTTCAAAAAAGACTTGTATAAAAACGCCAAAATGTCAGTCCGTCTCCAGGATTAGGTCTCGAAACCTATCCAGTTGCAGCGAGGGGTGAGACAGGGAGACGTAATATCACCGAAACTATTTACCACCGCCCTGGAAGATGTTTTCAAGCTTCTGGGCTGGAGAGGATTCAGCATAAATATCAACGGCGAGTTCTTCACCCACCTTCGATTTGCAGACGATATCGTAGTTGTGGCAGATCTAGGCACAATGCTCGATGGCCTCAGTAGAGCCTCGCAACAAGTGGGTCTCAAAATGAACATGGACAAGACAAAAATCATGTCAAATGTCCGTGTTGCACCCACTCCTTTGAAAGTTGGAGACTACACTCGAAGTTGTTGACAATTATGTATACCTGAGACAAACCGGATGGTTTGTCTCAGGTACAGGTACTAACTGGATAGTTAGGTAGGTCCAACTTTGAGAGAGACGTCGATCGTCGAATCCAGCTCGGCTGGGCAGCGTTCGGGAAGCTTCGCGATATTTTCACGTCCGAAATAATACCGCAGTGTCTTAAGACAAAAGTCTGTGACCAGTGTGTGTTGCCAGTGATAGTATACGGATTTGTGATGTGGACCCAAAGGGCGATGGAGCGTGCTATGCCAAGCATAGTTTCCCTGCGTGATCGAATCAGAAATGAGGAGATCTGTAGAAAAACCAAAGTGACCGACATAACCCGCAGAATTGCTAAAATCAAGTGGCAGAGCTGAATATGGCCGATGGGGTAGAAAAATTCTCTTGTGGCGACAATGAGCCTGAAGACGTAGTGTGGGCAGGCAGGCCCCTCTAGATGGATCGACGATCTGGTAAAGGTCACGAGAGGTGCCTGGATGCGGGCGGCGCAGGACCGGTCGTTGTGGAAATCCTTGAGGAGACCTTTGTCCAGCCGTTGAACGACATTTGCCTGAAACAAACGAGCGTTATGTCTTCGTCTAAAATGATCGAACACCAGGCTTCTTTTACTAATTTTTAAAATTAGAAAACAAACCGCAACGTGTTCATCATTTAAAACTCAGAGGCACACTGAAGCTCAATTACCGCGCTGCCGTGTCCTAAAGTTGCAGTGCGCATTAGCCACGAAAATAATGACAAGACAGCAATATCTCACTAACACGTTTCATACCTTGTTTATAACGACTAGTCTTAGATAATAAAAGAGAAACATTGCACATCACATATTAATAAACAACAAACATAAAATTAAAACTAAATTAATTTTGTTGAGAACGCTAGGAATATTCCCGGGAGCGTTCTCAGCGGCACATCAGTAACTCTGACTGAACTGAGTGATCGACGCACGCAACGACGCTTAGAACACTTCATTCAACTTTTTGAACATAACCGCATTATAGTTTAGGAATGTAGGTTAACGGCATTTAAGTCTTGTAAAAATGTAAAAAACACATAGATTGTTACATTTGGTTAGCCTTAATGGTGAATTTACTAGTGCAATTTCAATAAATAAATTCATGTAATACAAAGCTATAATGCCGTTATTGGACCTTTGTTGCGTTTAAGTCTAATAATTATACTTAACGGCGTTTTAGTCTTGAGGAGTCTATTAAAGCTTTGCAAAGAGCAGCTTAGCAATATTGTCGTTAAAGTACCTTAACGGCTGTATTGACTAGAAATTGTAAATAACGGCAATAAAGCTTTGTAATTTTTCTTAAATGTTTAATTCTAATAACAATTAAAGACGCTTAACCGCGTTTAAGCTAAGAAATGTAATGTAACTGCATTTTAGTTATGTAATCTTGCAAAGGCGAAGCAGTTAGCGGCTTTCTTATTTTTTTTATCTCAGGAACTAAACAAGATATAAAAATTTCGATAATAGTGCTAGATTAAGCATTTTTTTCTGATTCGGATGGTATTCAAAAGTCAAAATTGACCAATTGTGGGTTAACGGCATTATAGTGATAGGACGGCAGAATAGGTAAGGCTACTAGCGCCAGTGTCCTTATCAAATGTGTCTACTTTATTCTGTTGGTTATTAGTATTATGACGCAAAGGGACGGAAGAGTCGTGTTTTACTGGGAGAAATTCATCGAATTTATCTTTTACATTCAAGTGTTATCATTAAATTATTGCGGACGCTCGTAGACGCTGGAGTATTTATCGCACGTGCTTATGTGTTTATCTTTTTACTGTTGAACTCTGTTAATTAACAACAATATAAAAGTAGATAGTGGTTTTATGGAAAGAATAATGATTCCAACAACGATAAAAGCGTGTTTTCAGACTTTGTTCATTGTTTTCTTATCACAAATTGCAAATGGGCAAGATCGAAAGGTATGTATAAGTGATAAAAAGTACTTTTGAATTTTGTCAACCACCCCCTTTTTATGTATGAAAAAACCATTGTTACCAATAAATGCATTGTCAGCCTGATATTTATTGTTATTGTTATCAATCCCGACATCTTGAGAAAGATAAAAATGTTTTTATCTATAGACAAGGTCATATTATTAAAACAGAAGTCTGAAACATATGTTCTCATCAAAACAACATTCAGGCTAACAATTATTATAAAATGTACAAAAAATACATAACCTTTTGTTACTAATCCTAAATTACCTAGTTGTTTTTTATGTGTTCAATTACTTTCTTGAATTACTATATCAGACTGCTTTTTTCTATATCAAGCTCTTTTGAAGTACTATTGTCTATTCCCAATATAATAATCATGTTTTAATCATGGCCGTGTCATTATATCACCATAAAATTATTTTCAGATAACATATAAATTCAACCCGGGCTGCGATGCATGTGTTGACGAAAACAACACCCTAGTGTACACACGAGCACAAGGCTCCCACGATACCGTCCACCAAATATGGGACTTCACAGCTGGATCCCCCACAGTGATCCTGTCCGTGGCCGGAGTCAATTCTACACTGAACATTACATGGGATGGCACTGTACCGTCCAGATTCAAGTTTTCTGAGACCCCAAAGTATAGTTTTGCAACCGTTATTGATAAGGTAAGAAAACTCATATTTTCTAGTCAGACCTAAAGCAATGGTTATTTAGGTTAACAATAATTAGCATTATGTATCAAAAATGTTAAGCATCCCAACTAATATTATAAATGCGAAAGTAACTCTGTCTGTCTGTCTGTCTGTCTGTCTGTTACGCTTTCCCGCTTAAACCTCGCAACCGATTTTGATGAAATTTGGCATAGAGATAGTTTGAGTCCCGGGAAAGAACATAGGATAGTTTTTATCCCGGTTTTTGAAACAGGGACGCGCGCGATAAAGTTTTTCTGTGACAGACAAAATTCCACGCGGGCGAAGCCGCGGGCGGAAAGCTAGTTTTCAATAAAATGTTTACAGTCTAATTTTTTAGAAATCAGCAGAAATGTCATCAAATATGGCCAACTGACATAAAAATATTTTTAGTCTGTGAACTAGTGATGCGACAAAACCTCTCGTTAATCGCGAAGTGAAATGTTGTAGTACTTGCGTATCATCGCCGGGTGATCGTGAAAATACTAAAAATATGCAACAAAGTCGCAACATTGAATGTGAACTGATTATGAAATTTTCGAGAACAGGAAACAAACTGTATGCACAGATGTAATCAAAAAGCACACTGGACAGTAAAACAATCAATGATATCCGTAAAGTTATTAAACTTCTGTTGCTTGCTGTTGCTTGCTGCGTGATTGGTGGATTTTGACATATCTGTCAATGTCATGTCAAAAATAACCAATCATGCAGCATTTGGACCTCGCGTCTACGTATTGCCATCTGGCGGATTTTTCAATCGCGAAAACCCTCATTGAAAGAAGTTTTTTATTTTCTTAAAAATAAACAATGGAACAATACGTAAGCATAATTGCATAAAAAAGTAAAATAATTTCGTTTAAATAAAACCGACTAAAAATTAAACTGACTCCGAAAAAGTAAACACTAAAAGTAGAAAAATAAATTTACGTTATCTCCAATATTGTCGAAGTTATCGCTGGAAAACTAAGCAAAGTATCGTATATTTTTTATTTAAAATTAATCAGTAATCGGAATAAGTGAATACTTAAAATAATATCGATTAAATTTACAGATTATTGTCTATGACTCACAGGTTACGGCACTGATGTGTCAGAGACAAGTCATAGACAATATGGAGATAACACATGATTTTAAACGTCAAGTCAATTTGACAATGTCACAAATTTTCATCGTCCACGTATTTTGCTAAAATAATTTGTTTCAAAGATTGATTTCAAACTTGTATAAACGTGAAAATAAATTTGGTTTCATGGGCTTGTTAAATAGTGTGTATGATATTATGAACACGTAAGTGATTATGGTGTAATTGTGTATGAAAGTGTTTGTTTACATCTCTGCTGGATTCTAAAAAATCAAGGTATAGTTATCTTGAAAAAATCACCATTACAAAATAAATCTTACTTATAATTTCAAAACAATCATCATTTGTGTATTAAAGTTAATTATTGGAATTAATTGACTTTAATTACACCAGCAGATTTAGAAAGGCTCATATTCCACTATAAGTCACTCTTAGCCAATTCAAAAAATTACAGTTCCCTATAATCCCCAATGATAATGATCGTCTTTTGTACCACATTTTTTGTGTGCAATAAAGATTTGAAATAAAGAATGTCATTTATGACCCACTAGCTTTCCGCCCGCGGCTTCGCCCGCGTGGAATTTTGTCTGTCATAGAAAAACTTTATCGCGCGCGTCCCTGTTTCAAAAACCGGGATAAAAACTATCCTATGTTCTTTCCCGGGACTCAAACTATCTCTATGCCAAATTTCATCAAAATCGGTTGCGAGGTTTAAGCGGGAAAGCGTAACAGACAGACAGACAGAGTTACTTTCGCATTTATAATATTAGTTGGGATATGCACCACATGACCTTGTAATGAAGCTATAATTCCCTTTCAAAAAGCATTATTATATTGAAGTCCACTAGAGGGGAGTTATTGATGATGCATGAGAAATTGATATCACAAAGCAATAATATGATACAGTGACTAAAGTCGCCCATTGTGGTGATATTTGGTTGATCAAAATATGCGCGCGCGCCGTGAGTCACGGGCCGACAACTGGCGTTTGCAGTAATCGGTGTTAGTGAGCTTAACCTACTTCACTTTGATGTATTGTATCCTATTACCAATAGAATTGTACAATAATTGAAATAGGTATGATTTTTGCTGCTAGTATCAATGATCCCCTAATTCCCATATAATCCAAGGCAGTATTTTTCTTCACGGTCTTCCGCTGTGCCCGGCAAAAGCCCCCCTAGCTCGTCAGTTACATTTTGAGTTTAGATAGATGCAATTTCGCGATCGCTTCACGGCGCGAAATAGTTACTTACGAACGTGCAAAAAAAAACAGCGAGCAATTTCGAAATTGTACTTTGTCTAGGGGTAGGCAGTCTATAGAAATGGTCATCAATCACATTCCCCGAAATAATGAGGGCTATCGTTTTAGCGCTCACCAGTTGGCGCCACTGTAGAGTAAGGTCCTGTCACTTGCTAGTAGCGAAGACAGTGGCGCCAGCTGGTGAGCGCGAAAGTGGTAGGACTATCGCATTTGCACTCATCAAGATGGCGCCACTGTAGAGTAAGGTCCTGTGAATCGCCAGAGGTGCCAACTGTTAGGTAAAAAAACGATAGCCCTCATTATGTACCGTGTCATTTATTATTTACCCTCCCCAGATATACGAATACAACGACCTTCAAGACGCGGGGTACATAGACGCGCGTAGCCCGCGCCGCGTGGTGCCGCTGCGACATGTCTCGTGGCGGCTCGCCACCGACGTCCGGACGGATGACGAGGTCATGGTGCTCATGAGAGGACACCTGAGGAGTGAGCACAGGCATGGCACGATTGATGTTAAGGTGAGACCTACGAAGCTCCGCACTGCAAATTCTTAACATGTTAACGAGTAAAACTTATAGCGCGTAGATACTTTCTGTCGCGCCTAGGGTTGCCAGGTCCAAAAACCCAAAAGCCGGACTCAGTGCTTAATTTAGCCGGACATTTTACCCTAAAAGCCTTATGGGCTATATGTAAATGTGTGGGTTCCTCATACTTTTAATCTTTCACCCCCTATTTTACCTCTTCAAGGATTTTTTGAAATAAATAAAAGACTACTTTCCCTTTCTCTTATATTTAATCTCTTTTTGAAAGTCCAATCACTCCAATCTATCTCTCACATATTAGCACTGATGTTTTCTTTACAGCACGTATTCGCGTAACAACCAGATAAAGAATCGTACAATTATATAAAAATAAATCTGTAATAAGCGTACATAGTTACATAAACATTGCGATTGCATAAACATCTGTGTCAAGGCAGTCAAATGACCCCCGCCACGTGCAAGGGGGAATGGCAAGATAGTGTTCATAAATGCCATTGTCCTATACAAATCTTATGACTCGACGTTTTTATTTAATTAATAATGATGAATAAACTTCACGCCAAAATGACTCATATTGTCACACATTCTTTGATGACTATACTGCAAATGATTGTATTATGAATGCAGTTAAAAATAATGCATTGTTAATTTCAATTTGTCTACATTCATTAAGCAATCTAATTTGCCTCTAATTCTGTTTCTAAAATGGTTAATGATGGGGAAATGTGGGAAGGAAAAATGCGTAGCTAAATTAAACATACAGAGACAGATTTATTACACTGGAAATATGATTTTTAGTGTCAGTTCTAGAAAAAACTCACTTTCATTGGTTGTAAATAAATATACATTATTTATCATTTTCTTTGTTTTAGTCTACTTGAACAGAATGTACTGGAAATGTACTGTATCAATTAATTAACAGACACATTTTAGCTAATAAGTTATTATCAATGCATGACGTGGTTCGTTGGCGTCTTTCTAAATAAAGTACATAAATTATGCAACCGGCTTGTGCATGCGTGCGAGAATCTATCCTTGAACAGATGAATATCCTCCTAAATCTAAATTACCAATCATCATCATCATTTCAGCCATAGGACATCCACTGTTGAATATAGGCCTCCCCCAATGATTTCTATATTGACCGGTTCGTAGCGGCCAACAAACATCCAGCGCCTTCCCGCTACCTTTATGATGTCGTCCGTCCCGGACGTCCCACGCTGCGTTTTCCGGTACGCGGCCTCCACTCCAGAACCTTGCTGCCCCATTAGCCGTCAGTGCCTTGCATGCCCATTATTGCCCTTTGCCACTTCAGCTTGCTAATCCGTCGGGCTATGTCAGCGACTTTAGTTCGTCTACGGATCTCCTTATTTCTTTATTAAATTACCAATCTATACTAATATTATAAAATGCGAAAGTAACTCTTGTCTGCCTTACTTTCACGCCTAAACCACTGAACCAATTTTCATGAAATTTGGCATAGAGATAGTATGAGTCCCGGGAAAGGACATAGGATAGTTTTATCCCGGTTTTTGAGACAGGGACGCGCGCGATAGTTTTTCTGTGACAGACAAAATTCCACGCGGGCGAAGCCGCGGTCGGAAAGCTAGTAAGTTATATTATGTTTTCTAACTTTTTTCCTTTCCTCCACAGCTAGACCTGATCCCATTCAAGGACTACGCGGTGGAACTCCCACATCTGATCCATACAGCTAACTCCACGCTCGCCGATATTAGCCTCGTGAACCTGACGGCATCGCGAGACTACAATTCGTCACGGTTCGCGCTGCGAGTGTTACTGGCCAGTGTGGATGACAGTAACGATACGATGCGCTATGCTATGCGCAAGAGTCTGGATGACGAACACACACCTGGGGTCTTTGAGGTAATTTACTAGATTCGGACAATTTCCCACTCTACCCTAGCCGATATTAGCCTCGTGAACCTGACGGCGTCGCGAGACTACAACTCGTCACGGTTCGCGCTGCGAGTGTTACTGGCCAGTGTGGATGACAGTAACGATACGATGCGCTATGCTATACGCAAGAGTCTGGATGACGACACACACCTGGGGTCTTTGAGGTGAGTTACTAGATTAGGACTTATTACCAAAGGGATAGAACACAATTTCCCACTCCACCCTCGCCGATATTAGCCTTGTGAACCTGACGGCGTCGCGAGACGTTTGTACGCTTCGCGGTTTGCGCTGCGGGTGCTGCTGGCTAGTGTGGACGATAGTAAACACACACACGCCTGGGGTCTTTGAGGTGAGTTATTAGGTAGAACTTACCTACCCGGAGTTGCTAAGTATAATAAACCTACTAAACTACCTCTAGAATCAATCTATCTATAAAAGATACCATATCAACACCAGTTACGTAGGTTTAAAGCAGGGTTCGAAAATATCCGATATTTATAAGGATATTTTCGAACCCTGGTTTAAAGATCTGCAAAATTCAACCTTTAAGGGGGTAAAACGGGGTCCACGCGTACGAAGTCGCGGGCGGCATGTATGAAATATAAATTAAGAGCGTTTACGCCGTTTGGCGCAAAAACAGTACTTTTTCAACTCGTTACAATCATTAACCAGTAATACTACAAATATGTTATAGGCATAAATAGTTAGGCAATTTCGTCGTCTAAATAGTTAATTGAGAAAATATTGCGATTAGTTTAGCATTTAAGAATTCTATCAAGATAAGTCCACACAGGTTTTGTAAATTTCCACTTTAGCGTCAGTTTACAAGCCGAAATCTTTATAAAAATACTGTGAAAACGATTTAACAAACATTTATATCCTATAGCATAGATCCTTGGGCAAATAGTTNCTGCTTACGGGCATACTTAACCCCACGGAATCCATGAAAAATCAATAGAACTGAAACACCCACGTTCTATTGATAACTATGTCAATATTTTTCACTCGACATTGGCAGAAATAAACCTCCCAGAGAGGTTTAATTGCCACAAATAAAAAAAAAAAAAAAACGTATATTTTTTATTTAAAATTAATCAGTAATCGAAATAAGTGAATACTTAAAATAATATCGATTAAATTTACAGATTATTGTCTATGACTCACAGGTTACGGCACTGATGTGTCAGAGACAAGTCATAGACAATATGGAGATAACACATGATTTTAAACGTCAAGTCAATTTGACAATGTCACAAATTTTCATCGTCCACGTATTTTGCTAAAATAATTTGTTTCAAAGATTGATTTGAAACTTGTATAAACGTGAAAATAAAGTTGGTTTCATGGGCTTGTTAAATAGTGTGTATGATATTATGAACACGTAGTGATTATGGTGTAATTGTGTATGAAAGTGTTTGTTTACATCTCTGCTGGATTCTAAAAAATCAAGGTATAGACCTGTTTTTATCGACAAAAAAGAGGTCAAAAAATTTTTTGAGATTTTTTTAAAAAAATTTATAGAATTTTTTTTCTTCCAATTAC